TCACAAGGGTACTCAAAATGTATTCCTCCTAAGACTCCAGGCAGTGAAATGTTGTGGTAACAGAAGTGCCCATAGCAAAGATCTGTTTGAGAACTGGTTCAGCAGCAGCAAGTTCTCACACAGAACAGGGGTTTCTCTATCAGTCTGTCCTAGACAGATCAAGTGTAAGCTCTGTCCAACCCAGAGAGGCAGGACTAGAAACTGCCTTTTTTTCTAGTCTTGATTCTTAAAAAATAAAAATAAATCTATTTCTTCAACTGCTCTGTTCTGATACAGCATCAGAAAGCTTCATATTAAAAGTCTCTCAAGAGTAGCATCTTTTACCAATCAAGTAATGTAGCTTAGTTTGTACTCACCGATCCTATTTTTCCTCTTATTTTATACAGATTCTCTTCCTCTTCCCCTCCAGAATGACTATAATTATTCTATAAAAATACAGAGCATATGGAACACTTTCCTCCAAGCAATGGAACAGAGCACCATAAAAGCAATGAGCATAAGCAGTTTATTAGAGGTGGTTTCCCTTCCCCATCATCTACTCAGAGATGCTGTGAAATTCTATTGAAGTCATACTGTGCAGGGGTACAAAACAGCTATGAAAGGATTTGCCTGCATTATATAGGGTTTACTGTTAATTAGCTCTGTACACACACATAGTATATAAACCCAGCTTTTTTTTTGTTTAGGAAGTGATAATTTGTTGAGAGGACGTCCTTTGTTGTTATAAAGCTAGCATTAGGATTGTAATTTGAGTTAACATCTACACGTCATTTTATGTAACCACTTGACAACAGTGGTCCTGGCTAATTAGTTTCTGTTAGTTAAAAGGGAAATGTGAATGAAATTTTCTTAGGGCATATATAGAGACAGACATCAGCTTATTCAAGCCAATAATGTCAGTGTGCTAGCTCTTTCCTATCATATCCACCACATGCTTCTGATCACATCTTCAGATTTGCAGTCTCTCATGCACTGGAAAACAGAAACTTCACTCCTCCTTTGAGGATCTCTTCTCTCTTAGTATTAAGATGAACGAATCATAGGAAGTATGAACATATTTAAAATTCATACTTTAAGTAAAAACTTTGTCCGCAGCCTAGCTTCAATAAATGAGTGAGCCAAACTTTTCTGGCAGGCTTGGGAGCAGGGGAGTGTAGAGGAACCAACCTTTCGTGACTGCCTAGAGTACTTTTCTTAATGGATGGCAGAGAATTGTTTTTACAGTTTTTCAATCATTCTTTTCAGCAATGGTTATCCAAATCTTTGAAGCAGGCATACTGCTCCTTTCACTCCTAGTTTCAGAGCTCCTAACAAGCATGCTGTTCTACCCAAAGAAATCACTGACTACAATTGTCAGAAGGTATCGAAAGGAGGAGCATTATTCTAGTAAGGGGTGGGAAAGGAGGACAGCTAACTCCTTTGGGCACCCCAGGAAATTCCAGCCTCTACCTGCTTCCTATCCTCACCGATTTCTAGGAAAGGCTGATATAGAAGGGGGAACCCAAACCGAAACCTTACAGTAATGAGCTAGTACTTACTGCCCCCCCACCTCCAAAAGGCACAGAACAACAGGAAGAGTTATAAGCAGCTGAGAAAAGCCAGGACACAAGGCTCTTCTCTCCTCTCTGTTCCCTGGGCAGAGATTCTCAGCACAGCAGGGAAGGAGACAGAAAGGAAGACAAAGAAGCAGTGGCATTAGTTACATGCCAGCTAAGAACTCTACCTTGCAAGGGGAAGCCTCTGCTGGCCTGTCCCACACCTTCGGGCCCCTGTGTCATCTGAGCAGCCTGAAGAGGTCAGCCAGACAGTCTGCTCCGCAAACTGATGCAGTGAATGACACGAATTACAATGAGACAACACTGATAGGGATGCTATGAATTAAACGCAGCATAAATACAGACAGAATGTGTGTCACAAACGTGAGGAAAGGATTCCCCGGCCGTATGATTTCAACAATAGTAACTCAAAACCTAAAATGACAATAACCAGAATTTGCAACTAACCACAAGCAGAGGAGGCACTCATTTCCCCTGTGACTTCTAACTCCTTTAAAGTTTGAAATTTTCCTGGCAGTTATGAATACAGTGAAAGCCTCTGTGAGGATAAATTCAACACATTGAAAATAAATGTGGGTCTTCACAGGGGAAAAAAAGGCACATGAGATCCACCAAGTAACCTAACAGTCATTTGAAAAATCTATCAAGTAGTCTAGAGGAAAAGGGCTAAAATAGCCCTTATATGTGGCACTGAGCTGGAAACAGGAAAAGGGTTTCTTGCATCCTTTTGGATAGAACTCTATCAAAGATGAAGGTTTTAAAAAACCCAAGCATCCAAACAGAAAGACATGCAATGCCAAAAGCAAGGATTTTTTTCCACAAAATGTAAGGGACAAAACATAAGCAAAAAATCTGAAGTTTCACTGGTCATCTGTAAAACATGCCATGTGACGCAATTCTGATTTATTAAACACAACAGTAAGAATTCCTTTGCTGTTCTACCCTACTCCTACGAAAGCCTTCAAGTCAATGGATCATGGCAAAACCAATTTGCAAACTGCAAAACTGGAAAGCAAGCAACACCGGTATGAAAATGGAAACAGGTGAAGATGAGAAATATCTCATTGTTTGTGGTTAGAAGCCCTGGCCTTACTTTCAGCTGACTGAACAGAGAACCCTGCTCTTCAACTCACTGTTAATTCACATCAATGGAAAAAAAAATCAAATCAGTGCATAAGAATAAAACTGATTATTAATTTTTTTACAGTCTGTAAATCTACGGAGGGCATGCAATTGTTAAAGGGGCATGAAGAAGGTTCTAAAGTAAAGCATATATTTTTGTTTTACACCTCTAGCATAATAAAAAGTATCACTTTGCCAGTGCAGTTTTGCCCATTTTTAGCCGAAACAAAAAAAAAAAACAAAAAAAAACCAAAAAACCCCACAAAAACCACAAACATTTTCACACACACAAAAAGCACAATTTCATTAATCTGATAAAGATATGAAATTTCCTCCTTTGGCTTGAAACTGAAAGAATACATACATAGTGACATTTAAGCACAGTGCAGTAATTCTCCCAAAATAAATTCAGCAAAGTTGGAACAAAAAACAACAATCCATCAGATCTGAAGGAAACATTTGAGGGTCTTCCTTCCTCAGATTGAATGGAACAGGCAATTATTCACTTGAGCAGAGTAAAACAGCTCCTTTAATTACAACTCCCCTTGATAATTTGCTTTACTACCTTAACAGTACCTTCAAGGAGATAAAGCTTATGATTTACACAAGATAAAAAAAAAAAAAACAAAATAAGCATTGCCTGCTAACACATGGCTTAGCCCAGCACCCTACTCAACAACACTTTCTTTAGTGTTGTGTCATCATGTTCAAGGTCCCACTCCTTTAATTCCACTTTTAAATATAGTGCCTAATCTAGCATCCACTGTGATTAACAGAAGCCTTTCCATCAAATTTAGTGGGCATCTGACAGTACCTCCAGAGACTTTAGTACTACCCAAACGTTTTCAATGCAAATATAAGTTCTGGAGTTAGATCACTTGAATTAAACAGTGAGCAAGGTCTGACTGGCTTTTGGGCTAACAGAGGAAGCCAGAGTGAGCAGCCTGTAACGCTGCATGAGTTACACTACAGCCAACAAGTTATCTTCTTAGCATAAAGCCCTTAATGTTCCCTCAAAAACCAGTTAAAAATCCAATTGATGAGATACATATAATTTTTAAATTGGTTACTAAAGCAAAGAACTTCAGCATGGCCTTCATTCCCTGACGCTTGGTAAGTCCCTTAAACTTATGCAAATAATAATATATTTTCTGTATTTGTGCTTTGAGTAAAGTTGACAAAACGGAGACCTTTAAAACTGATTGCTTGTTTGGAGCAACTCAGTTTGGATGCGTAGAGCTGAAAATGAGTCCCCTACAGAAGTATCTCAAACTGGATATCCCAGATCAGAAAGATTAAAACAAAATATTGAAATATTGAAAAACTCAGTCTTCTTCTGTTGCTTATTCATTGTTCCATGAATTACGTCAGAACTGATATTGATTTAATTAAGCAAGTATACCATTTGATAGCATTTATAGAGTACTGTTTTTCAAGTCTAAACATGTTCTCCCTCAATGGCTAGAAACAGCAATTTTCCTATTAGGTACACGACTAGGAAGGAAAGGCAACTTTAAAACCATTTTAAAGACAAGAAAAAAAAACAAAGTAAAATCCTTCATGAGGTGAAGTTGATTGAAATGATATAATTTTCATCCAGTCTTAGCTCAGGACAGTAATCCCAAAGCCTGGAAGTCATACTAACCAGTTTGAATTTAAAAATAAACAAACTCAATGACAATGAAGAGCTTTCATGAAAAAGAATGCTGTGTATAACCGGAATGCTTTTGGAGTCTTCCTACATTAATTTGTTTCGATCGCCATTACTGAAAAATAAAATTGCTGCAAGGTTATGATTATTATATTTTTTAAGCAGGAAATTAAAAGAAAATTAAATAATAGCGTTCTGTGAATTAAGGAAGAAATTCAGTTTTGTTGAAACATTTAGTTTTTTCCAGAGAAGCAGCATGGAAGAAATAAATTCATTTGCTCTTAAGATCTGTCTTAACAAACAAACAAAAAAAAAAAAAAGGCAAAAAAAAACCCCCCAACATCCAATTTAACCAGAGTTTGCACCATGTTTACTTGTAGTTAAATTTAATGAAGAAACATGTGTTTCTGCAGAAAATTTCAGAATTGACTCATTGATTTAACCTAAAAATAAATCTAAAAAAGGCATTTTCTAATCAGCCTAAATGAGTAAGATATTTAATTGGCTTTCAAACAGAAATGTAAATTTGGATGCTCAGAGGCGTATCTTACTTAGGGACAAATTATATTCTCCCAGTAATTTGCATTTTTGAACAAACTGGATAGTATAACATTCCTGTGATAACCAGGGAAGGACCCTGTGTACAAAAATGGAAAAGTGGTGGATGTTACCTAGCATGTTGTGGTAAAGTGGACTGTCGTGTCCATGGATAGTAAATGCAGTCATGACTAGCGGGACCTCTACACCTGCAGGCAATTACAGAACAAAAGATGTCATTTGCCATTCACAAGGACATGCACACGCATGCGCCCTTGTCCACACGTGGAGGATGGAAGACACACAGGGAACGATCACTCAGCAAGTACCTATCCATCAGGCCGATGCAGTCCTCAATACGGGGCCCTATGCACCTGCAGCAAATCCAAATTGAAAATAGGGAGAGAAAGAGAGAAATGTGTTATTTACAGATCCAAGAAGCAGGAATCACTTCTTTGTGCCACATTCTTAATTATAATTCTCAAGAGAGTCCCGAGTCACCCCAAAATTACAGCTTGTGACAAAACCAAGCTTGCAATGGAACAATAATAGCAACATAAACAGCACTCCAAGGTTGGACAAATCTTGGCTCAAACAACACTTAAGGCAGGTTTCACCTGCCTATGTGGGAGTCCTGACAATGGAGTTGCTTTTTCTGGATGTTGTCTGAATCATCAAACCAGTGATTACTGCACAACAACTGTTCATTTGCAAGATGAAACCTCCAGGAGCACTATACACACCTTTTTTTTCTTTCTGTAATTGATGCAATTGTTCATTCTGTTCTAAGCTCCTCGCTAGGGCAACTGCAGAAATATTTTGGAAGCTGACTATACTAGCATCAGAGAAGCTCAAGGATGAACTTCTAACACCAAAAAACAGAGCAAAGAAGTGTCTGCTGATTCAGGCATTTTATTCTGCTTTTCTTAGATGCTACCAAAAGTCTTCCACCGGCAAAATCAGCAGGTGCTCACCAAAGGCAATGGAAACGCAGGGAATCACTTTATGTAGCACCACTGAAGCACAACCATGGGAAAGAGTCTGTTTGCAAAACATGGATATGCGTGGATTTTCCTTGCCCTCATGAAGAACAGTATGTGGTGCCCTAGGTCCTCTGCATTCACATAGCAAGGCACTTACACATTTACACAGCAGTCAGGATTCTCAGAGACAGATACATAAAGTTAAGCTTTTAGGGGTTGAGACAACCTGACTGTCCTTAGTGCTGAATGCCCAGCCAGTCCCTCTGTAGCCATGGGGAGTATCCAGCTATCAGCATTTTAATGAAACCAAACCACTTATTTCAACTCCTTAACAAGATCTCAGAGCCATTTTATTAAGAGGCTCTTTGGCTGTACATCTACTACAGGAGCAGGTGATCTGACACATCAGTATACTGAAACTCACTTCTGTTGAGGCATTTTAAATTTAAGGTATGATCCCAAACTCTTTTCAAAGTCTCCTACTTCCAGTTTGGCTTTGATAGAGGTATATGCATGTCAAAAATTTGAAAGAGCTCAAATGCTGAAATGTTCCCATGAAATCATCTTTCCACTTCACCATCACTTGCTACTCATCAGCGTTTGCTGCATTTAAACTGACTATCACTCTGCCATTGTAAAATACATTCAGTGAATTCAGTTTCCCCTTACCTGCCCATCAGGGAGAGCAGAATGATAACGAACTTTACTTCTTGTTTGTTTACTTGAATTTTTATTTTTACATAAAAACTGTGACATGTAAACACAGGTTGTAAGGATTTCCTCAATAATAGTTTCCTTCAGAAAATGTGCAGACATTAAAAGGATTCATTAAATACCCAAGTGGCCAGATAACATAAATTGAAAGGGTAGATTTAGGCATAGTTCAAAATTTTAATACAGAGAACTCTTGATGGGTGTTTTTTTTAAATTTCAGCTGTCCTGGGCTTCAGGAGTTAAGAATTCAAGACTGTATGAATTCTAACCAGTCTCAAACATATCCAACATTTCTTCCTTTCATGGCATTCTCAGCAATTTGTAGAAAAACAGTTCAGTAATAAAGGAAGCTGAAAAAACGTTGTTCAGATCTTCCATTTCCTAGCATGTCAAGAGAAGCTGAGCTCAGACTCTTGCTATAAATAAAAAGAAGGCCCTCTTCAAATTAGAGGTCTGAGAGCCCATTACTTGTTCAGATAACCAGCAGCCTATTGTCTCTGAGTCATTTCACATCTGTACATTTATTCTCTCAGACTTTTGGAGAATAGGACTTGAATTCAAGAAGAGAGAGCTGTTTGGACCTCACCCACTCCAGGTTGAAATACCACTGATTTTTATTTAAACCTGTAATCGTCTTCAGTGGATTTCCCAGCCCCAAACAGAAAACACTGTCCAGGTGCAATTTCCATTACTCCTAGTCATGCTGAACAGTTTCCTACTCTCTGACTGGCTGTTCTGATTACACGTAGTAAAGTACAATACTGTGTGAGTAATGGCAATATCTATTAACAAGCTATTTTGCACCACCAAATCGTCAGTTATTTTTCCTCTCTAAGTAACTTCCTTGGTTTCAGGCTTTTTGACATATGTAAGTACAAGCGTGACACAGTCATACATCACACTGGTACTCTATTCACCCCCAGGGTTCCTTCTTCTGCTTGGAGTCTGGACGATATTTTCATTTCCAAGTTTGCTCTGTAAAATGAACTGGTTAACTGATACATGCCAATTTCTTAATGATATATTCAGTACCTTACAACAGTCCAATAGAGCTTATACAGAAAATTACACATGGAGCTTATTCTAGCTTTACAAAGAATCATCCTGCCCCAGCCCAGGCAGGGGAAATGAGGAGAGGGGGTCACTCTCTACGACAGTGACCAGTTGGAGTGCATGCAGCTCTTCCTGGGAGTAGATGAGGAGCCAACTGAGAACTTATAGATCAGGATTAAATGGAAGGCAGGGACAGGTGGCATTCTAGTTGGGGTCTGCTCCAGGTCACCTGACCAGGAAGACCAAGCGAATGAGGCCCTCTCTGGATGGATAGGAGCAGCCTCACATCCACAAGCCCTGGTCCTCATGGAAGACTTCAACCATGCCAACACGTGGTGGAGGGACAACACAGCAGGGCATAAGCAATCCAGAAGGTTCCTGGAAAGCACGGATAATAACTTCCTTCTCCAAGTGACAGAGGACCCAACAGGGAGAGGTTTTATGCTGGACTTTGTTCTTACCAACAAGGAGGGGCTGATGGGGAAGGTGAAGCTCAAGGGCAGCCTTGGCAGCACTGACCATGAAATGGGTGAGATCGAGATCCTCCGAGCAGCGAGGAGGGTGCACAGCGAGCTCCCTACCCCAGTCTTCAGGAGAACAGACTTTGGCCTCTTCACAGATCTGCTTGGCAGGGTAACATGGAATAAAGTCCTGGAGGGAAGAGGGGCCCAAGAAAGCTGGTTGATACTTAAGGATCACCTTTCTCCAAGCTCAGGAGTGATGCATCCCAACAAAGAGGAAGTCAGGTAAAAATGCCAAAAGGCTGCAAGGATGAACAAGGAGCTCCTGGACAAACTCAAACATAAAAAGGTAGCCCTGCAGAGGGTGGAAACAAGGACAAATAGCCTAGGAGGAATAGAGAAACTGTCTGAGCAGCCAGGGATCAGGTTAGGAAAGCTAATGCCCTCTTAGAATTCAATGTGGCCAGGTTCATCAAGGGCAACAAGAAAAGCTTCTGTAGGTATGTTGTTGATAACAGGAATAGTCAGGAAAATGTGGGTCCTCTCCAGAAGGAAACGGGAGACCTGGTTACCCGGATATGGAAAAGGCTGGGGTACTCAGTGACTTCTTTGTCTCAACCTTCACCAGCAAGGGCTCCAGCCACACTGCCTAAGACAAAGAAGGCAAAGGTAGGGACTGGGAGAATGAAGAACCACCCACTGTATGAGATCAGGTTAAAGACCATCTACGGAACCTGAGGGTGCACAAGTCCATGGGAGCTGATGAGATGCATCTGTGGGAATTGGCAGATGAAGTGGCTCAGCCATTATCCTTCACATGTGAGAAGTCATGGCAGTCCGGTGAAGTTCCTGCTGACTGGAAAAGGGAAAACATAACCCCCATTTCTGAAGAGGGAAAAAAGGAACCCCCAGGGAGCTACAGGCCAGCCAGTCTCACCTCTGTGCCCAGTCAGATCACAGAGAAGATACTCCTCGAATCTATACTGAGGCACATGGAAAATAGGGAGGTGATTGGTGGCAGCCAACGTGGCTTCAGTAAGGGCAAATAGTGCCTGAAACATCTGGTGGCTGCCTACAATGGGGTTACAGCGTTGGTAGATAAGGGAAGAGCAACTGACATCATCTACCTGGACTTGTGCAAAGCAGCTGACAGTGTCCCACATGACATCCTTGTCTCTAAATTGGAGAGACATGGATTTGACAGACAGACCACTCGGTGGATAAGGAATTGGCTGGATGGTCGCACTCAAAGAGTTGTGGTCAACAGCTCCATGTCCAAGAGGAGAGCAGTGACGAGGGGCGTTCCTCAGGGGTCGGTGTTGGGCCCGGCGCTGTTCAACATCTTTGTCAGTGACACAGACAGTGGGATCGAGGGCACCCTCAGCAAGTTCACCGACGGCACCCAGCTGTGGGGTGGGGGACAGGCGGGAGGGCAGGGATGGCACCCAGAGGGACCTGGGCAGGCTGGAGAGGGGGGCCCGGGCAAACCTCATGGAGTTCAACAAGGCCAAGGGCAAGGTCCTGCCCGTGGGCCGGGGCAATCCCCAGCACAAACCCAGGCTGGGCCCTCGAGGAGTGGCTGGAGAGCAGCCCCAAGGAGAGGGACTGGGGGGGTTGGTGGGGGGAAAACTGCCCGTGAGGCAGCCCCGTGCGCTCGCAGCCCAGAACCCACCCGTGCCCTGGGCTGCAGCCAGAGCAGGGGGGGCAGCAGGGCCAGGGAGGGGATTCTCCCCCTCTACTCTGCTCTCATGAGACCCCCCCTGCAGTGCTATGCCCAGCTCTGGGGCCCCCAACATCAAAAGGACATGGACCTGCTTGAGTGGATCTAAAGGAGGCCACTGAGATGTGGGGGGCTGGAGCAGCTCCCCTGTGAGGCCAGGCTGAGAGAGTTGGGGGGGTTCAGCCTGAGGAAGAGAAGGCTCCGGGGAGACCTTTGAGCGGCCTCCCAGGGCTTAAAGTGGGGACAGGACAGGTAAGGAGGGACTATTTATAAGAGGTAGCAGTTTTAAACTGAAAGAGGGTAGATTTACATTAGATTATAAGGAAGAAATTATTTCCTGTACGGGTGGTAAGATGCAGGAGAAGGTTGTCCAGAGCAGCTGTGCCTGCCCCCTCCCTGGAAGGGTTCAAGGCCAGGTTGGACGGGACTTTGAGCAACCTGGTCCAGTGGAAGGTGTCCCTGCCCATGGCAGGGGGGTTGGAACTAAATGATCTTTAAGGTCCCTTCCAACCGAAACCATTCTGTGATTCTATGATCCTCAAATAAAATGATGAGTTAAAAGTTTTGAAAATTAGGGCAACAACTATTTTTTCCTGAAACAATCCTTTTTCCCCTCTGTCACAAACACTGTCTTCCATTAATTTTCCTTAAGATTGAAAGGTGGGATCTTAACTGTTCACAGATGTGGATCAGTAGAGCCACTTCTAGACAGATAAATTCTCAAACATCTTTGTCATTGTAAACAAAACTAATTATACACTGGCATGAATAGATTAACTCTGGACAGGAGAAAACCTTAGTTGTGGCAGTGACTAGGTCACCCAACTACTGCCATGGATAAAGCCAGACAACTCAAAACCAGGGTGTTACTTAGTTAAAAGGAAGTGCATACTGATGATGACAGTAAGAAAACTCAACTGGGGCAATGGGTTGGAAGAAATTTTGCATCTACAAAATAGTAGCAGTTTCTTAATCAGCTTTGTTTGCCATTGAATTTGCACTACTGTTTCATCTGGAACTCATAATGCCTTCTTAAAAAAACACCTAATCTTTAGGGGCAATACAGTACTTCCACCTTTAAAACTCTTCTGGACCACACACGTGTTGATAAGGCTCCTATGACTTCTCTGGTCTTGGCTTAGAACAAAAATAAAGTTTTGGTGAGGAGTAATACACTTCCTTCAAAAAGCTGTGTGAGAAAATGCCTTTCTGTGATGACAGGAGGTGTCCAGTAAGATCTCCCATTTGTGTCTTGCCCAGTGAGGAATGAGACCATCAAATGCTATTATATAATTAGTATTTTATTTCTGTGAAAGCGTTCCATTTTGGCTAGCACTGCAAGAACAGGTGCCAACTGCTTTCTGACTCTCTTGAACTAAATGGGATAGCTGTCCCACATGCCTCAGATCTGCTCCAAACTGGCTTCAAGTAGCTGATATTTATCATGGGGATGCAAGGCCAAAAGCACAGTTGTTGTATCCAAGGAAGTCACTCCTTTATAGTTCTCTTATTCAACGTAAGATCATTAACAGGGCTGGATAATTACACATCTATTAACAGAAGCAGTCATTATCCTTGAATAAGGGAGGAAAACGGTGTTATCAAATCTCACGCTCTAGGGTGTAAAGCAATCATCTGCAAGTGCCATGATAAAATTGTGGCAAAATGCTCACAGGAAACAGACGTGGGACAGATATCTTCCTTGGTGACAACAGGTAGGGATGACTGGAAACAGTGCATGAGAACTAACAACCCATTTTAGCAAGCAGCTTGATTCAAAGAGAGCAGCACTGCAGGAATGAAGTAATACCACACTGGGAGCACTACTCTGCAGCAGCTCAACACTTTTTGACGAGTATCCAAGCTGTATTGTGAGGGCATCAGTTTTATACCAGCAATTGGCCTGACAGAGAGAAGAACAGACATGCTAGATGAAGTAGCATTATGGTTTCTCTGTATCATCCAGTCGTGAGCCAAATATCAAGATGTGTTCCCTCCATAACCCATTTCAATGAAGAATCTTGACTGAGGGGAATTTAAATATTAATTTCTAAAGAAAGGGTATAAAACTAGATAATTCAGTATTAAAGGAGAAAAGGAGAGAGAGCAAATGATTTCCCTTCTCTCTGTGGGCATATTCAGCCACTGACAACACTGGCAAGAAGATGGACAACCCATAAACCCCAAACGTCTGGGGCCATCATTAACAGTTTCATTAACATAATTACATGCCATAAAGTCTTTATGAACACCAGAAAAGAATACCCATGCTTACTCAGATTTGGGGGGTGGTAAGGTATTGTTTTTATGAGGGGTAACAAAATACCTAAGAACAGAGACACAAACTCTTTAATAAGAGGATGAGAATTTCTATGAGGAGTAGTATTTGACTCATGGCAATGGGATAGCTCCTCATCTGGGAGATTACCACACCTTTGTGTTTGTAACCTGTGTGAGACCTTTGGCCCTTTTACTAATGGTATTTTGTCATTTCTCTGGGGATTGGCACACAATGCTAAATGAGACCTTTCACCTAATCAGCTGCAGAAAATAAAAAGTGAAAGTTCAAGGATCAAATGACAACATAACTCAGCATAAAAGAACCCTGTGTCATCAAGAGTTGCCAATGCAAGTTCAGTTGCAACTGCCTAATGCCCTTCCTATTTGTTTATGAACAAGAATGTCAGATTTTCATCACAAGGCATAAAAGCCTCCGTTCTTGATTCCATTCTATTCAGGGAGATGAAATCAAACCACCACTTGCAAAATACTGATGCACATGAAGAAGTGGAAAAGCATGAAAAACATTCTGCTTCCTTCCTGGTCTAGGTGAAACACAGCTGTGCCAGGAAGATTAGTAACAGTTAGAGGAGTTTCCCAGAAAAGAGGAGGGAATGGGAAGAAGTGTCACATCCTGGTCTTCTGAAAGGCCGGCAGACTGCAAGGCAGTCCTTAGGCAGGGCATCCTAAATCTATCATCTATAGCTGGGCTTGTCAGAATCAATCTGAATTGGCACTTCCACCATCTATTAAAGCCAGGACCAGAGCTCCTGAAGTGAGCTCGTCTTTTCATATTATTTCTTCTTACACTCTTCTTCCACAGTAGCAGCATTTTTCTTATTGCGTAACTGATTTAAAGGGTCTGAGGGGAAGACAAATCTATAACAGATCCTGGCTGTGTCTTTGCGATCTCACTTTCATTTCCCTAATGGCTCTATTGTAATTAGATTTGCAAAACCAGCAAAAGGTCTCATTTTGAATAGCAACAGCTGTTGACATCAAGATTACACTGAATAATTTACTGGTTTAATTTTGGCTGCTAAACAATAAGAGCCTCTTGTTGAAGATTATTTCACTGGCTGAAGTTTTCTCTTTACCTCTGGCTGCATCTCCCCTTCTTGGTATGCTGGACACCACCAACTGCCTCATTGAGAAGACATTTATAACTTATGTGGCCCATGCAAAACAATAGTTATGTATGTGACTACTATTATTTTGTTGAATAAATTCTTAATTCTGGCTCAGATACATGGTCTGAATACTTCCAAATGTAACAAGTGATTTTGGGCATTTAGAACTTGAGAAATTGATGCTCAGATTCAGACTCCTGTGCAAAGTCTGGTTTCAGAAAAACTCTTTGCATCAGTCTCCATATGAAAAAGAGAGCAGTAACACCTTCATCTCACAGTAGTGCTGCCAGGTTAGTTCAACAATACAAAGGATCAGAGATGCAAATTCTGTCAACGAGCAAATACTAAAAATAAAGTAATTTTACAGGCCTACACTTAAGTGTCAATGGCAGCATTTGCTACAAACCAGCGGTAGCTAGAAGGAAAGCTAAGAGCACTGCTGTGAAAAGTTGTTCTCTATGGTTTGCAAAAGGGGTGTAAGCTTTTTTCTGATAAGCTGCTGGACGCTCATAACTAGAACCTGAATGTAATGAGACACCTGAAAATGAAAGGTTACATTACTGCTGCACACACTCTGTTTTCAGGAATGGGACAAGTGCTTTACCAAGACAAACTGTATGTAAATCATCATGTGCTATGAACAGTAAATAGGATGGCTCACTTCACAGAATTTGCACTTACCCTTGGGTGCAGTTTGGATGACATGGATGGCACTCACGATCCTCATCAGCGTATTTGAAAATGAAACTATTGGCCCCCTGCAAGCCATCAGGACATTTTTCCACACAATTTGGACCATCCTTAAAATGGAAACACTTTGTGCAGTGGTCAGGTCCCTGGGAAGCATGGAAAAAAGAAACACAGTTTATTTAAGTTACTCTGTCTTCTCCTGCTGCACTAGAATTGCAGGTCCTAGATTGACAGCACACTCAGCAATAACTGCAGTAGCATTTATTTCCCAATGAACAGTGAATTAGCTGTATGGTTCTAATCTCTGTTAAGGAGCAGCAGACGTGTAAATCCTGGTGCTTTTGGCCAGAAACTTATTCTGTAGAGTATAAAGTCTAAATTTCAGCTTCTAAGCAGGTTTCTCAATATTATTGGTGTGTTTAACACAATGGGCTTCGTGCCCACTTTCACTCTGAGAAATTTCCCACAACATTGTTCAATACTGAACCACATTTTCAAAGCAACTGCAATGGCCCTTCAGAGGGATTCCCTGCCTCTGCTCTCCAGAATTACTTTCCACAGTGCATTCTCCCTCTGGTACCTGACTACAACAATACTGAATAACTACAAGGTCTCCTTCTTCTTAATATATACGTAGACTAGACTGTTATGAACTACAAACCAAGGCTCTTGGACAATGTAAAAGTAGAATTTTAAAGCTGGGATGATAACCTCGTATATAAACAAATCTGGTGTTCAAGTTGGGCATTGCTCTAGGATTTTATGTTTATGACTCCTGCTACAAATCCAAATTTCCCTCATGGGTTTAACACTTGAAACATTATAGCTTCTTGCTTTACAGTTGTATTGCAGAAAACATAGCATTGCAACAAAAATGATGATGCCTTTTTTTCCCATTCAGTAGGTAAGTCACAGAAATGAGGACTGGGTTAATGATGAAGTGCCTAAAGTACAGCTCCTCATTGTCCAGGATACTTGCAACTTTTAATCTTGGCAACGTATAGAAAAACAAAAAGAGACAACTTCTATCTCACAAGACAGCAATAATCTCTGAAAGAAGACTCACTGGCCATTATAAAGGTGACAGCTGCAGTTAACATTCATTTATGATGCATGAAAAAAATTCTCTATCAAAGCAATCTAAAAGGCTAACCTAAGCTAAAAAACCCAAACAACATATTGTTCAAGCTAACTGAGAGATTGAGAAAAATGCCTACACTTCTTTGTGGAAAAAAAAGTTACATGAAGTTGTAGTAGAACAGGCCAGAACTGAATATAAAGAATGAAAACAGCGATAAAAGAGAGCACTCAAATCACAACTGCATGATATCTGTCATTTAAAAATTTTGTGCATCTGTACCACTAAGGCATTAAGACAACTCAGAAAAGGAAAACTTTTTAAACAACTTTCTTAAGGAGACTAATCCAAGGAAGTTTATTCCCAGCACCAATTTAACATGAAGAGAATTCTTTCCCTACATGAAGAATATACATATTTTCTGCTTTTGTTAACATTAAATTTCAATAGCTGCTTTAAAGTCTGCAAGCAGAAAATGTCCATCTTTTAGCCCACTTGAACAAGCTAGCCCATAATATACTGAATTTTGTTCTTACCGGCCCATAGCACGTGATCATGTTTTCTTCCATCTTTTCACACTGGGGATCACACTCCACACAAACAGAACCATTTGCAAATTCTCGAAATTCCCTAGGAAAATATTTTGCAGGCACGTTAGGAGAAAGCAAAAGCACGACTAAAACTGAGACAAAATGGCTGGCTCTTCACCTGGTGGAAATAATTACAGCTTCACTACGGTTGGCAGGCTGCCAGCTGAGATCACTTCTGCTAATGTGCTGCTTCACACCAGCTGAAAACTGGCCCCCATCAGCAACCTCATTCACAGGCAGGTAAAGCAGAAGACATCTTGTTTACCAGTATAAAACTCTAGTGTTTTTTTCCCCTCTTTCCTTAAGAAATAAGGACCTCATTAATGGGACAAGGTAACTGATTTCTTGCTTTTATCTGTGGAATTGCCACTCATGGCTCAAATTTGGGAAGCCACTTGTTACATGTGAGACGTCACTATCAGGTAGGAAAGGATTAGAAAGAACATGGATCACAGATCTGCTCTTGTTTTAGTTATGTCTCTACAAACACTCGTTTTAAAGCCCCTTCTCTAAAAGGCTTGTAACTTTTTCATCAATGACAGTTCTAGACTGAGGTCTGAATCTATAAAATGTCAAAACAAATCCTTTTGCTCATTCATTTCATGTATCAACAGGAAACTATCACCTAAGTGATTTTTTTTTTTTTTATCAACCACTTATAAGGGGGAAAAAAAAAAAGTAGTAACAGTAGGTGGGATTTTTCCCTTTAAAGACCAGGTGTCTTATTTCAGCTGCCAGTTGCCCCTCAGAAAACCTCCAGCACCCTCTCAACACAATTCATCCCACCCTTTTCTAGGTGGAGATGAAATAACATCTGAACAGGTCGTTTCTCTCCCACTAACCACAGACAGAATCTATCTCACTAGCTCAGAGTGGAGACCTAGCTTTGCAGATGAATCTCATCTTGTTGTATTAACCAGTTAAAGATATGCTGCACACTCATATTAGTGGGCTCTAGTAATATTCCAGACAAAGGATGAAGGCCTCTCTGCTTAGTTTATTGATGCTCACCCTCCACTCCTCTACAGTGTAGTTAGTATCTATTGCAACAACACAGCTGAGGAAAATCTCAATTTACTGCAAGTGAGCTCACCCTTCTTTGGCTTTGGAGATGGATCTTTCCTGTTGATGACTAGAAGTGACACACATGTGACCTTATCCTGAAGAGCTCTCACACAAACAAAAAACTTCTCCCCAAGCCCACGTCACTAATCATTTCACATATTTAGGAAGGAACTGAGCCTGTGGAAAGTGCAAATACCATTCACTAATCAATACAGATTAGAACATCCTGACATGAGGGCTGGTCATGAGAGCCTCCTTGTGATCTTACTGCGATAGGCTGCATGGCAGCAAGCCACCAAATGTGGTCCAATACATTCCAGTGCATATGAACACAAAACAGTGGTCTGCAACTTTTCTTTTCTTTTTTTTTTTTTTTTTTTTTTTTGGGGGGGGGAGGGTGGGGCAGGGAGAGTGAGGAGGAGAGAAGAGGACCTTTTAAGCATATAACACTCTCCTCTGACAAGATTTTTTTTTTTGCATGCATGCTCCAGATAGAAGAGTTTAGAATATTTTCGTGTATATATAGGATTCAGTCAATACTCTTTCCTTAACAATTACATGAATTGGCATCCAAGGCAGGAAAAGAAAGAGGACAAAATCATACAGTGATCTTATTTCCAATTAGTAGTTTGAGCTGAAAAAGATAATTCAAATAATTTAGGTTTTTTTAATCTTGACTTTAAGAGAGGTGTGGGGGACCTTGTTATATTGTTACATACGAAGGGAAATTCCACCTGTTTCCCTCCACAGCCTAATTATTAATTTCTGCTGCTGCAGCTAATATAAACAAGCTCAGCTCTATCTTTCTGTCCTAAGGCAGATTCAGACACCTTGGCTGTGGCATATGTTGATATTCCCCCCACTCATCCGCCAAAAAAGATGGTTCACATGCATGAACAGCAGAAGGAAAAGGGGGGAAGAACTCATGTTGGTTTTAGTCTTTGTATTTGTGTATACACATACACAGTGCATTATGAAAAAAGAGAGTGAGTTTTCCTACTTTAGGGTCCTTATTCAGAGATCTTCTTTATCACATGCCTAAATATAACTCGTCTGAGAGAACATAACTGCATGTGTTTCTGAATAAGGGTGTCAATATTCATTGGGATTTTTTCATAAGTCTTTACCTAAATCCAATTGCTCGCATCATTAGCAATGCCAAAGGTGCAACAAACTTTTGATGCTGCATGAAAACTTTAGTCAGCAGAGTAGTGGGTAAAGCCTTCTACACAAGATTCAGAAATCCTTAAAACTTATCCCACAATACATTTCACTCAAAATCAGTAATATTGGCAATGGAGCCAGATATTGATTAATGTAAAACCAAAATAACTTACTCATTAAAGTAATCAGCAACTTCAGGGAAAAGTGCAAGGGAAATATCTTACCCATCATACAGGTTACAAGAGTCTATGCAGGTCCTTCCCCTGATGAAGCGCTTGCAGGAGAGACACTGATCTGGCCCTGGCCCCCAACAGCCATCACTTGAGCATAACTCATTACACACCATTCCATCAGCAGCTGCAGAGAGAGGGAAGATACTATAATTAATTCACATAGTTCTCTGAAATCCAAAGAACATTTCATCCAGCATTCCACCATACTCAGAAAAGTAAACTGAACATTCGGATTTTCTAGAAACAGAATAGAGAAAAAGCAGAAAATTATCATCAAACCACTACAGAAACACAGTTTGAATACTATACACACTTCTGATCTGTTCCTTTCAGAAAGGATATAGTACAGTGAGAAAAAGGTTTAAGACAGTGCTGCAAGGATGACCAAAATTAGAGAAGAGCTTTTATACCAGGAATAAACAGAAAAGTAGCCTTAGATATAGGTGAGAAAGGACATGGTAAAGGTCTATAAAATCCTGAATGACAAGAAGGTGGTAAGTAAGCATGAAACAATTCTTCATTGCTGCTTCTAAGTCCCTCATGGGCATTCAAAGAGACAGGAACCCAATAGGGTTCAAAAGTGAGATTTTTCTTCACAGAAAGTATAGATCAAGCTGCAGAATTCCCTGACACAGGACATGGTAAATGCCAAAAATGTAAAGGTTTTGAAAAATCAATTTTCAAAATCCACAGAAGGGCTATTAGACTAAAATATAAAACACTACCGCTGAATTGAGGACTCCCTGAAATAAAATTTACAGATTGTTGGGGAGAAGATGAAGGAAAGTCATGATTAACTATGATTTTTTAATAGTTTATTGCAAAAGCACCTGAAGAGCCAAAGAGCCTTTATATTAAAACTCCAAAACCCACATAAAATAAACTATTAGCAAAGGGTGAGAGGGAAAGGTTGTTTCAAGCAGCATAATTAATTCTGTATTTTTATTTTATATAAATCCTGCTCTACATAAATATCTAGATGATTGCGACAGATGGAGAAAATAAGCAAAAGGCAAAAGGAAACACACATTATCTCTCCAGCATCTGAAGAAAGTCTAGTTGCATAGTTTCAGCCAAACCCTGGCGTGTGAAAAGGCAGATCTCTTAATCTGAATTCACTCTTGCACGATTAAATGTTTTACGCAAATGGATTACGTACTAGACTGAGTAGATTAAAACCAGCAAAGATCTGAAATATCAGAGATGGCAAATATATAAACACTTATTTGCTTTTTAAACCACTGGAAACAACTTGAAGGAAGTATCAAATAATAAATTAAAAGTGGGTTTGCTGGTAGAATTCTACCACCTCCTCTCCAGTGAAGATGTCCAGTGGGGAACAAACACAAACACACTGAACACATGTATTAAACAGCAACTGCATATGCCCAGCACACATTTAGAGAGAGGCAATAGCAAAATCAACAGAAAATCTTTTTGCAAAATGCAAAAAGCCCTCTGGCAGCTTTATATCAAACAAAAAGGCAGATCTTTGTACACTATTTTTCTACAATTCTTTCAGTACACCAGTGTAGCTGGGTGACTGGGGAAAAAAAGCACCCTATTTTAATTTCATGATACCTAATGGCTTTGTTTCCACTGTCAAGGCTGGAACAGTGCATTTAGGTACTGTCCTTAATAATCTACCCTAACAATTAAAGAGGGTACTGAGTTTTATTTCCTGAGAAGCACAAGGCCCATCTAAATCATGAAAGAGTCAGCAGAAAGATGTTTTCTGCTCTCCACAGCAAGTTTTAAAACTGGTCATTCTGTGCTAGGATGTATATAATGTCCCACGTTTGAACCACTGAATATCTGTCATCGCAGCTGCTGTACAGGAGAGCACACTGCTTCATACAGCGACTCTCTCCTTAACCGCTCTCTAATCGCCACTTTTCATCATGTAGCATTGGTTGACGTTGGCACCATACTTGTCAAACACATCCTTCTGATCTATACAGCATGCCCAGCCTATGTCCTCTTCTATTTCCTACAAGGCAATTCCAGTACCTCCTTTTGCCTTCTGACATGCAGAAAGTTCATGTCACACTGGCAGGGAGCTTTCTTTTGACATACACTACCTGTCCTGTCACCATCACCCTGCTTTCTGACCGTGGAATTTACTAGAAAGCACTTCTTAGAACAAATACGCAACAATTATATGCATGGTTTCTCTCTCTTAGCCCACACAGTGAGCAGGGAAGAGGAACGATCTTCTTCCATATTTCCTTTCTTCCTGCAATAGGACATTTTGCTCCATTTAGATTGAGAATGGCAGATCCTCATCTACTTGTTTGGTTTTCTGCCTAGAATATTTTCATAATTCAGTGCCCAAAAAGGGCATTTCGCCTTTACAGGCAGCATAGGAACCAATCAGAGAACAAGAGATTCATCAGCATGCTTCCTACCTGCACAGCTCCATTGCTGACCCTGCACGGCTCTGCTGTACAATGTATGTAATTCAGCTGGTAGATGAGCACTATCTTATTCAATACAATACCACAAATAACCCTGGACATGAAAAGTCTGCACACTCATGTCTTATGAAGGCTGGAATGCTTGAATATGTATATTTTTTTTTTTACTTTTTTTTTTTTTTTTTTTTTTTTTGTATCACATATACTTTCTTGATGACAATATTCAGAAGTTGTTCAGAAGTATCTTTCTGATGCTCTTTTGTCTCAAAACCAAATCAGGTACAGCCAAACATAAAATAATTAAATTTAGGAGTAATTCCAGATGGTCATTTAATTTCCTTTAAAGTGTATTAATTATCACAGAATCCAGCACAGCAAAAGAGACTTCAGCTATTTAGCATGCCATTTTGTAGAGATGCCTTGTTCTCCTTCCCTGAGCTCTGCTGTAAATCAAGAGTCATTCTGCTGCAGTCAGAGGAACCACACCACACAAAGCCAGTATGAGCAAGGACAAAAAATTCAGCTTTTCATTACTGTCCTAACCCTAACTTTTTTTAAGCATAGTGACACTTTTATAACAACTACCAGATGTCAGAAGTTCCACTATGCTGCCACTGACTGAACTTCACAGAAATGAAAGGAACTAGGCAAAAGCTTTGCATTACCCAATGGTACATGTGTAGCCCACACAGTTTCCTTTTTTTTACCCACTTTTAGACATTTCATGTATATCTCAGTCTAATGCTGGCTTTGTGCAGTACAGTTCAGAAGGCATGCTGACTCGGTGTTAAAGGCCAGTTTTGACCTATTTCATGTTTATTGCCTGCAGGAGCACCCAGAAACAAGTTCTGGGTGATATGGTGGGTCATTTCAGGGGAACCCCAATTATGCCTTCAGATTCAAAGCACACTTGAGGGCTCCGTCAGAGCAGATTGCAGCACTTTATGCCTGGTCTGCCAATCCCCCTTGATCTCATTCAGTCTCATGGTGGTGTGTGACAGACACTGACTAAATATACAAGTCCTGCCTCATGTTGCTTCCCACAGGGGCACCTGGGATTAACAGAGAGCTTCAGGCTTAGACTGTATCAGCAACTAAAAAAAAGGAAAGAACCCAAACCCAGGAACTATCACAGTTCTAATTAAGCAAACTTTAAACGAATAGTTTTATTTTCTAGTCAATGACTCACTTTAAGTGCTTGTCATGCAATTAAAAAAAAAAAAACCAGCTTTGGAGGTTCCTTTGTTCTCATTTTCAAATATTAAGAATATTAGTAATTCTGATTTTGTTTTACACACTCTTGTAATTGAAAGGCAGTTTCCTATTTGCTTTCTCACCTTTTTTTGTAACTTGAAATTGTGCTTTTATTACTAGTGATTTCCTTTCTTTTTGCTGTTCACAGCTGTCAGACTACTCTGGGATCAGAACTTTACACACACATAGTGTTGCACTAAAATATCCCTTCAAATAGCAAGTGACACTATTACAAGATAGCTCAGAACATATACGAGTAACCTTATACAAATAAAAAGAGAGCTTTTCTGTAAAGAAAATCATGATTACCCTATTGAAATCTAGCCAACACAGTGCCTGTAGTCTATGAAAAAAGCAAATGAAAAAAATAATTCAATATTTCCTTCTGCTTATTTCTAAGTCATCGAAATGTTTTCATAAATGAATCTTGGCAAGAAGGGAGTGGGGTTTTTTTGACAACTTATAAAACCCCATTACATTTGCCTTCTTCCTCTTCTTTAATAATAGGGATAGCTAAAGAAATGTTTCAATTTTAGACACATTATTTGGCATTTCCATGGGCTGAGAATGTTTTGAAGCTCCAGCATATCACAAGGCCATATGTGGAAGGAAAGAACAAAAATGCTTTTGACAGGAATTCATTTCCATTGGGAGTTTTAGAACAACTGTTCATTCTTTATTAATGGGGTCACACAGGTTAGAAGCAGAAAAGTTCAATGTTTTTCCCCAGCCTAGATAGAACACAAGAACATTAGCTATGTAAAAAAAGAAAAATTATTGTTATTTGGCTATCCACTTATGGGCCTGATCCAAAGCTCCGTGAACTCAATAGAAAAACTCCTGCGGACTTCAATTAGCTTTGCATCATGTCTGATAATGATTGCAATCATTTATTCAAGTTGTTAATTGGTGGCTTAATTGACATAATTCATAACAATCACATTTGTAACAACCTTTGCCTGGAAAGGTTTCACTGTACACGGCAGGTGCCACTAAAGCTGAAAGGAATTATTTAAATAACTTTGTATAAAAGAACATTTTTCTACCTTTATTTTTTGTGCACTCATATTTAACATGAGTCACCTCTGGCTGTTCCACAGAAAAAAAAAAAAACAAAACGTGCTGGGAAAAAAAGGCAGCATGGAGCAATGGTAAAATCTAACTACCAGAGCACGTTCCCTATCGAATAACTTTATAGTCATTCATTCTGCATTAATAATGTTCATAATGAAGTAAATTTTATGCACAAACAGTGTTTAACATTACAATTTATAGTAGTAGACAATTAAAAGTCTACATAAGATGAGAGATTCATGCACTGCCTTTTAGATAAATGCTCTCTAATTAATTTCTATTTGGCTTATCAGTTTGAAGATGCCCATTTGCCATCTGAACCCTTAAAGAACCTTGGGAGACACCATCAGACTGTGCTAAAGGTGCAGCAGCTGTTGAAGCCTCAGCTTGTCCCTTGCCCTCAAGTCTTCTCCTGTAACCTGTGCCCAAGCCTAGCCGTCATTTAAGATCTACACAGTTAGAAGTCTCTCGCTGATGGTCACATATTGCTGCCCTTTCCATGGTGCTCAGTCTCACAGGTGCCACGTTCTTTAATGTTCCCTGTGTACACAAACTTGGACACTGACATTTCTATCCCTGGATTTGTACAGGAAAGGTGGATAAGAGAGAGGTTGCATTCCTCCCAGGTACCCACCCTTCTCTGGCCCCACATGGGACAATGTTAGAAAGACAACACAAAGCAGTGGAGCATTGTGGGGTTTATGGAATTTTTTAAAGACAAAAAACACACCTATTTTTTCGCTCCTGTATTTTCATCATCCTACAAACAAGTGGAGTCCGCCCTAGGCTTTTAACCAGCATTTGGAAAAGCCATCTCAAAGGTGGTGAAATATTTTGTAACAATTTTAACATTGTTAAGAAGTGGCAGAAACAGAGATATGAAGTAACTGAGGGTATCAGAAGCATAAAGTATCGTGTTGGGTTTGTGTGTTGGTGGGGTTTTTTGTAGGGGAGGAGGGGGCTACAGTGGTGATCCCTGTGAGAAGCTTCTCAAAGCTCCCCTGGCTCCAAGTCAGACTCACTTCTGGCCAAGGCCAAGCCAAACAGCAATGGTGGCTGTGCCTCTGTGAGAATGGATTTAAGAGGGGGAGCCAGAGGAGTGGGAGTTGTGAGGAGGAGTTGCAAGGAGCACACCTATATGAACACTGAGGTCAGTGGAAGAAAGGAGGAGGAGGAAGGGGCAGAGGTGCACTGGTGCAGAGACCCCCCTGCATCCTGTGGCGAGAGGGCCGGGCTGTCCCCCTGCAGCCATGGAGGTCACTGGTGGAGCAGATGCCGACCTGCCACCCACGGAGGAGCCCGTGCTGGAGCAGGTGGCTGTGCCCGAAGAAGGCCGGGACTCTGTGGGAAGCCCGTGCTTGGAGCAGTTTGGCGCTGGGAGGACTGCAGCACGGGGGAGGGACCCACGCTGGAGCAGACTGGGAAGAGCTGCAGCCCGTGGGAAGGTCTCGTGTCAGAGAAAGTTCATGGAGGACGGTGTCCCGTGAGAGGGACACCACTCTGGAGCAGGAGAAGAGTGTGAGGAGTCCTCCCCTGAGGAGGAAGGAGCGGCAGAAACAATGTGTGAGGAATTGACTGCAACCCGCCTTGTCCTACCCCACTGTACTGCTGAGGGGGAGGAGGTAGAGAAATTGGGATGCTGTTCAACATACAGGACACCCTTGTGCACTTCCTCACCGCCGAAGTAGCATCAGACACTGCATATCTCCTTCACCTTCTGTATTACCTCCCTACAAAATGTTCTACCAAATGTAAGGGTCTAATCCGTAGTTTCACAGCTGATGCCAAGGACATCTTTTGCAAACATACACAAAAACTTCTACCAGGTAAAGTTTTGTTCAACACATCCTTCTGTCCCACATAACATAAGTTTATGTCAAAGGATAAAGTATGCTGCAGTTTGAAAGTGGACAGCAGTCTGCTGCAGGGTAAGAAACCAAACCACCCTTTCCCTTTACACCCTCAGGCATGATCACAATTAAACTATCTACATCTACAGAAGGAGACATTTCTTTAACCTTCTATTTTTGAACTTCTATGTAGAGAAATAGCCTAATAATAATAAACCCTAAAACGACAAAACCATGCAGAGACCTACCAAACAAGACTCTCCACTTCATGTAGCTCTTACATGGCAGAGATTAGAAAAATAACCGAGCAGCAGTGATAAATGTATAGTTCTGTTTCACCTAACACTGGAAGGTACACTCATACTACAGTGATAAGGACAGCCACAAACTCTCCCAAAGCACAGCAGGATAGTACTTCAAAGGGAAGGGAAAGAAAAAGAAGGGAAAAATAATAAGTAAAAGAATAAGTTAAAAGCAGGACCACAGCCTGAAAAAAAAACAAAGCAAACATTTCTGTATGGTCAAAACCCAGAAATATCACTTAAACATACAGCAATTTAATGAACCTCCTCTCTTGCTAGCAGTCTAACAGATGCTTAAAATGAACTGTAATGCTGCTAGAAGACGACTGTATTAATGCAATTTGCTGCCTGGTTTCTGTATAACCAAATTATTTCATCTGCTACATAAAAGTCCCAAAAGTAACTTTTCTAGATTAAGACAGGGCCACTTTGGTGAAGCAACGTAATGGAAGCAAAAGATGCTAATCTTACTCCACAAGGAAAGGGCTGTAGTTTTCACATTCTTAAAGTCAGTGCCTTTCATGTGGAGTCTTACATTCATTCCACATTTACGGCCTTCAGAATTCTTATTTGTGAAACTGGATTTCTAATCTGGAAAGTTCACATCATGGTAAGGAAGTAGCACTCTCTCTCTTCTTCCTTTCATTTATTCAGACCTTAAAATATCTCATTTGCCTAGAAATCTGCTCAGAGGCAGACTGGGCCAGATCCTTAAGATTCTGTAAATGATCACAGCTCCACTGATGTCCATGGAGCACCAAGAGACATCAGCCGAGTTTCTGGCCTGCTCACTGCACTGTATCCTGTCAGCAGTTGTATCCTTTTCCCCCCAGGTGAGTCAGACACAGACAGGAAGATCTGCACTGAACAGCAGTACTTACTGCAGTTCTCTGCCTTTTTATTTCGATGAATCACCGTCTTTTGACTGGGTGTGCTGAAGAGGCTGGTCCAGTTGACAGTGTGGTAGTAGCACAAATTGCTGTTGTCTGTTATGTAGATGTTGCCAGCACTGATTTGCTTCAAGGATTGAAACTGCAGAGAAGTAATGCCTTGTTGCTTTAGGATGAGTAAGGAAAGGCCACTGTGATGAAAACAAAAGTAAGAGAGACTAGGAATTAGCTCCATATGGCAGAACTTATTAGAGCTGGTTAGGAATTCACCACTAGAATTAGTTCCTAATGTCAAGATAATCTTTCTAGCAAAACTGAAATTTCATCAGAAAACTTTTATTTTGCGGTAACACAAATATTTTATGAGCCAACATCCAGTTCCACTGCCTAGAAAATTACAAGTCCTGTAAAAATTGTGATACCACAAGCTGTGATGCTCGCAATGCTAGGCCAAGCGGGCCAGCAGAACTCCTTAACTAGTTCCAGTTCATCCATTAACATATTTTTTGAGATAAAGTGCTGTTGAGAAAACTGAATAGAATCCAGATTTTTTTTGCAACAGAATTAATACTCTGATAGTTTATATGCTAAGAAGAAACTGACAAAGTCATGCAAAATGTATTAACATCTTCTGTCAGGCATCAAATTAATATTTTTGTTATTTTCAAGGAAATATTTCCAGCCCATTTTTCTACATTTCACTGTTCTTTTGTTGTAATATGTAGTTATCACCTTTCTTCATCAAAGGTAAATGATTGTCTGTGTAACATGGAAATGACTGCACATATTTATGACTGAAGATTAGTGAAGACAATATCCAGTTTCTGGGCATCCTTTAAGTTACTGTATTTTAATGACTATAATTGTTTTCCATCTGTTCCAAATACAAATGTCTGCCTCCAAACAGAATGCTGGGTTGTAATTCAATCTCAAGGTTTCACTGCTATTCATATTCTGCTTGGATTCCTGTTTAAGATGCCAGCAGAATCCCATGACTGATTTACTACATTTCCGCAATGGGGAGCCAGGGGTTGTTGTATATATCACTCAGGTACCTTCTTGTGCTTCCCCCATTACTTCTCACCACATTCTCTTCAAGCCAATTCCTCCATGAGTTTTCATACAGAAATATCTCTGGTAAAAATGGCACTGCAGAGATAATGTACACCCCATCTGCAAGGTACTTCAGCGATTTCCGTGTTCTTCCATGTATTCATCTTCTACCACTTTTTAAGACTACACTGTTCTTTGGGCACATGAGCCTGTACTTCCAGTTGCAACCACATAAACTTCCCGATAATAGGGCTAAATTCTACTATTAATGTCTTTTAAGTTATGTTTCACATTCACAAGGTATTTTAAACCATAAAATGTACCTTCTGGACAATGAGTTAATAGCTACAGCAATGAACCAAGACATTCTTTTTTTTTTTTTTTTTTTTTTATAATCAATATGTTCAAAAGGCATTACTCATTATAAACAACTGATTAGCAAAGATACTGCTAAGGAGTACCTTGGTAACAGAGAAAAATATATCATTTAATGATGCCCTTCCCAAATGATGTTGCATTCTGTGCTACTGAACAAAGAATTATTGAATACTAATAAAAACCAATTCCACCAACAGAGGAAGTACCTTACCTATAAAGAGCTCTTCCACCAATAGTAACCAAGTTAGAAAACACCCTGAAATCTGTCATATTCTCAGGCCATGACTGTATATTCAAATACCCTGAAGGAGAAAAAGGCAAGCACATGAATGTCAATGATTTCAGCTGTAAAGATTGCTTTATTACATATATGAGTTAGGACAGGCTTAGCCTATAAATGAAAAGCAGTGCTGATTTGAGAAAAAGAAAGAAATAGGTAATGAATGCTACAGGCTAACATCTTTGAATTCATCAGGTGGCTCACCACTGTCTCCTCCAAGAAAGCAAAGGAGGACTCGTCACAGCAGCGTAACATACACTTTCAACAGCCACAGTGAGGGTGAACCTAAACACAGGCTGGAAACTTGCAAGGCTGCTCAGCCTCTTCTAAACAGCAGCAGCAGAAACAATGAAGACTTTCCTGAATTAAGAACATTCTGTTTTAAAATGTGCTAGATACTTAGGACACAAGTTGAGAGATCCGTCATGATTCATTAAAAGATGACAAGGCTTTCCTAAAACAAAGAACTTGCATTCGTTTCTGAGAGTGTTTGTGAGGACTGTTGATTATCAAAGAGCATTCCCTGCACAATTATGTGGAACTACTTATTCTGTGCTACACAGACCTCTATGGAGTGCAATTCCCTATGATTTTGATTCAGTACTGGACTGAAATGCAGTGTATCCTCAAGCATAGGGGTAATTCCACTTAAGCAGTAGAGCTGAGACTGTCAATTAGTCAGTATGCTTAAGAATGGCAAATTACAGACACCCAGATGCCAGATTATCTTTGACATTAATTAAGGAGAGATTCAGAGCTTGCTTTCATTTTTTAATGCTACTGGCTTGCTGAAATACACAACTTTTGAGAGGTGAAGTACATGGGAGAGAACTCTCTTCAAATATCAAATACTCGCTGACTTCCACCCAGCTACAATCAAGCTATAGCGTCCAAAGATTTTTTTTCTGTGTATGAAATAGGGAAATGCAAAAAAAAAAAAAAGTAAAAAGATTCTATCTATACATAATCAGCAATCAATCAAGAACTCAAAGCTGCAGTATCATCTTCCCTGCCCCCAAATGGTGAAACAAGAAGGAAGACACAAGAAAAAAAGTACTGAGTTCTAGCTATATGACCCCACTGAAAAGTCACAAAAGACGGGAGGGACTACCTCCCCACATGCCCACACATTATACATTTGCCTTTGAATTACATAAACTAATTTGCAGCAGCATCTGCTGTTAGAACATGAGAAGTAGCTGCAAAACCAGATTGCATTGTCTGCTTTTTGACAAGGCGTATTTCAAATGCTTTCAAGTAAAGACCAAGACCCTTGCCCACTCAACAGCAAGGTCTCAGTCTTCTGATGCTTGTCTGCCCTGAACACAATGAACATTCCATACTCATGAGCAAAGGACAATACACTTGTGAGTATCAACTGATACTGAAATTGTTGTATATTAAACTTTTATGAAATTTACAGCGTGATGAGTTTAAAGAAATAAACACTGTGTTCTTCAGAAAACCCAACAAATGACAACTATAAACACGGAGTGAGAAGTTCAGATTATAGGAAATCAGAAGTGTGTTACCTGTTATCTCTCTCACTGTTTGGAAGATATTTAATTTCTCTGGATTGATTGCAGCAATTGTGTGATATGGGTCCCTGAAAGATTAAAAGGACAAAATGTGATACTCTGAATAAAAAAAGACGAGGTTCTCAAAGCTATACCAGGCAGAAAGCCATATTCAGGACATCAAGACTTTGCTTTTATGCAGCATATGTTCCAGATTTTTTCAGAACGTTTCTAATTTCTTCAGACTGTTGTTCCTGCAAAACCTGTGTCTTAACATCTCCCAAGTCACTTTAAAGGAAAATAATGGCGCTTACCATCTTTAACGTTCAAATCATTAATGTTTTAGCAAATATTTATGCTCATGAAAAATTAAGGGATTCTAAACAAGCATGGGTGATGTCTGTAAAGGAAAGATGAATTTTCAGTTTTTTTCCCAGGAATGCAAGCTCAAATGGTACAGTTGTGATACTGTACTATCAGGACTAACAAAATTGCTACCGAAATGAGTGACAAGCTATAAGCAAAACAAAACGAAGAGCATGCCAACAGTTCCTGACACATGGCATTAAAAGGGTATACTTTTTAGATGTTGAACAGTGAACATCAAAAAACACAGATCCTTGCCAAGTAAGGATGAAAAAATAAATAACTCCACCAAACATTAAAATCTAGAAGTTAGATACCTACAGTTTAAAAAGAGGAAGCTGACCTTGATTTTGAGAGTACCATCATTTAGTAAATACCTTTCCCCACCCCTAATTTTAAAGGAGTAAAGACATTCCAGTGATTTAAGAAGCCAAGTAGAAGCCTAACCCAAACAAAAAACCTTTAAAAATCCTTCTGTGATGCCGTATTATGGTATTTTGTGAGGGTAGGAAACATCCCCAGTAAATGCAGACCAGGCATTTCCACCTCTCCTCCTTCTGCTTTCCAAGAGACAACATTCTGGGAATTGGAACATGCAGGTAATCACCTAGGCCTCACAAGGGTCTGTGGTGCCTCACTGATGGGGTCATTTCTAACCACCCTGGAGGCAACTCCAGGTTAGCAGCAACAAAATGATTTTTTGAACCTTAACATAAAGCCCAGTGGACCAGAGAAGCATCATATACACTTAATTTTAACAAGCTGGGGCTCTCAGAGAACTAGGTAACAAGTTTTGACTACCTAACAGAAACACAGAACTTTACTTTTAAAATGCATTACTATTAAAAAAGGAAACCCCTTGCCTCATAAACATGAGGTTGCTCAATTTCACCTCCAAATCCTAAGATAAAGCAGTCTTTAAAGATCTGTGTATCTCTCTAACTGAAACTTGAATATATACTTCAAAACTGATTGATAAGAGGGCAGCTTCTCTGCATGTATATGCAGTGACAGCCACCTAGGCTATGACAATTTATGCTAGGTGAGGCACTCTCTCTGCATATTCTGCACATTAGACTGCTGGTCATATGACATTTAAAACAAACTGATGGAAGGTAAGTTCCATTTCTCCCTTCTATTCTCTAATCAACCATTATTGTAAGCCAGTAGCGAGGATTTCATGAAGTAACCACAGATGACCATGGCCTTTCCTCTTTATAGTGCAGTCTGGTTCATCTTTTGTTTTCCTAGAGGCTGAATCGCAAGAATCAAGGTAACAGTTTCCTTCATAATGGAAGGCAGAAAACTAATTTATCCTGGATCTGCTATTCCGTAAAAGAAGCCTGCGGCCATCATTAAGAGGTGGGCACGATTTGTTTCAGCTGACACCATGACATAACATCTTAACATTTCATCACTTACCCATGAATCCCTGTAACAAGGAAGATAAGGTTGCCATTGATCTTGGTACAGTTTATGAACTTGTCAATGTTGCTGGAATCCACCGTCTGAGCTGACACTAAACTCCCTGTTCCAATGCCATCACATGCTGCCAAAACAAGGAGTTTGTGTAAAGAACTAGGAAAAACAATGACTGAATCAGAGCATGTTGGCCTTCTCAACACAAGTCTTCATTTCTTGCAGAGATAAAGCAGCAGAGAGGTGTTAAAATGGCACCCATTACATTATCCATATTCCCAAAGAAGAAGCACGTGCCAATTTAAAACAAGCAATATGCCGCAGAAGGATATCGCGGCACACAGGTTAAGGTATTTCACACTGGATCTAAAGGCGAGTATGAGCCACACTAAATCTCACTCAAGCCAGCTGTAAACAGTTGATAACTAGTTCAGCCGAGCCTGGTGGCCATGTCATTTATTTGTGCGCTACTCGCTGAAGAAACTGAGGGGTTCTAACACTGCTAGCTCAAGAGGTCCCCTTTGCTCTGGTGGATTTGTGAACTTAACCATTCACATGCCATAAGGTCTTTTAGAAAGGACATACAAATAATTCTTCTGAATTCCCTTCCAGATATGGCTTCCCTTAGGACTGAATAGGGGCATAGGCCCACGTGGGAAAACTGATGGTGCTTTGCTCCTGAGATCTTCAAGTGGGGAGCAGAAAGTGTCCGTAGTGGAGCTTGGGGCAGCAAAGTAACCTATAGATTTCAGTCTTCCCAACAGCATTATCACTGAAAAACTTCTAGTCTATGTTTTAGATGCTTAGAAAAGAGGTGGAAGATTCTGGGTAAACAAAGGCATTTAAAAAAAAAACAAAAACAAAACCAAACAAAAACAGAGGAAATAAATAGAAGCCTAACACTGTGTTAACATGTATGAGACATATCATACATTGAAGGCTTTAGTATGGCCCCCTTTGGAATGACAAAAGGACAGCTCTAAAATGCCTCCAGGAAATACTTGTCATTAAAATAACATAAGATAGAATTCTTTCAAATTTCTCTAAAACCAACAGAGAAATCCCCTTCATCTTGATCTAATCAAAAGTAATTGGTTTGGTTAAATTACCATTACAACTTAATACATTTTCATCCTATTGTATGTATTTCACACACAGCCTACATAGCTCAAAGTTCTGTGGGTATCCAAAGGCTATTAATATTCTACAACATACTCATCAAGAGCATTTCATGCCAAAATAACACCCTGCTCTGCTCTACTACAGCACAGACTACATTCAAGAAAACTTATACTAAACTACTGCCTACCTTTAGGACAAATGTCAGTGCAGGGCTTGCACATCTTAATACCATTTTCTTCAATCTCCATCTTGGAGCTCGGACATGCACGGACACAAGAGCTGGAATCTACCACAAAGTTGTCTGGAGAGAAAAAGAAAATATTGCCAGAAAGTGAACCACTGGACTAAATAATACTGGGACATGGTTTTGGACTCTGTGTCAATACATATTATTCATTACCTCAGTAATTTCACATTGGCATTAACATTTAATGTTCAGTGTTTTCCAAAGTGTGTAAGCAAGAAAATTAGGCACGTTTTCGGAGACCTATGAAAAACCATGAATTGTCAGGCCTGATTCCCCTTCCTCCCCCAATTTGTTTTTATCATTATTTGTAGTAAAAAAAGCTACATTAATTGGAAAGAAATAAAACAAGATGCTCTGCCCTGTCTCTTTCATATACACACATATACATCTGCGATAAAGCACTGCAGAAGACAATGACAAATGTGTCAGTTTTGCCTTGTAAAACAACTGCCAAAGGGGATATAGACTGATCCTACCTAAGTGAGAGCTTAATACTGTCAAGAAAGGAAAAAAAAAAAAAGGGAAAAAAGTTCAGTGAAGTATTTGGACAAAGAGTCACATCCCTTAAGTAGTGCACAGTATACCAGTTTCATAAAAAAAAAAAAAATCTTGCCTAAAAAACCCCACCGCTCTATTACAGACAGAATTAAGCCTTGACAGTCATAGCCTCAGCCTACTGTCAATCTGAACTTCTCCACAGAGACTCAAAATTTGGATTTTGGGTTGGGTTGAATTATGGTTTCATTTATTATAAATAGCCATTCTTCTTATATGCAATTTATGGATCAAATAATTAATGCACAACTGTAAATCTTGGTGGGAATGAAAGGGAGAGCAAGAATACTGTCTCCCTTATTTTTCTGTCTAACTAAAACAACAGTCTCAAAGGCAATGTAAGTAATGACCTTCTGAGTTTTTCTGTCACTTGTCATCATCTGTTTGGTATGTTTTTTGCATGCATGGGACTACTCTTTTTTTAACTCCCTTTTCCCCTCTAATTTTGCTCTGGAGTTTTAATAATGTATTGTTGTCAGTATTGCATGATTTTTCCTCATTGGGACAGAACAGCTCAGAAAATAATTATCGTTACTATCTGTCAAACCATCATTATTCCAGGTTAAGAAAAGTGCAGCAGTATCATGAAACCATTTGGTGCCAGGTAGTACTGGTGATGGACTTTTGTTTTTCTGAAACAGAAATTTATACCCTTTTACAATCCCACTAACTGTTTTAACAGTTCGTTTTGAAAGTTACAAATGCTGATATAAAGCAGGAACGTAACAAGCAGTGGTCAGGAAAACAGAAACCTAGTGAACTGCCTTTCTTTAAGAAAATCACTATAGTATAGGACACTTGGGAAGTGTCAGCAACTCAGAATGTCACTGCCTTTAGTTAACACGACTGAGTTATTGCAGGCTGCAAGCACACATGGAGTGATTTGAGACACTGCACTATGCACTTAGCGCTCATTCTCTCATTGTTTTTTAAGACTCCTGAAATGCAACTCAAACTTTCCATCACCGCAGCAAAAGGCAGCTAACACAGCACTTACGTGGGCACTTTTTGACGCAAAAAGCCCCATAGGTGTACTTGGCATTGTGATTATGCTCCAGTTGGAAGGTGGTAGGATTGTATACAAAAGTCTGGGGACACTGCGTGACACACGCACCACTATCATTGAAATTCATACAGGCCTGCAAAACAAGGGAGAAAAAAAATATTAGATTTAATCATAGAGCTGCTGTTGTTTCTGTTGGGGTTTTTTGTGGTTGTTTTTTTTTTTTTTTTTGTTTGTTTGTTTTTTTTTTTTTTAGTTTAAAATACAGCCTTGATTATTCAGACTTGCTGCAACAGTGAGGAATGTGATATATAGTTTTCTAACCTTCACTTTGGTTACTCAGATTCCTTGCTAGGATCTTGGCAAATACATGACTTCTAGAAAAGGGCTCACTGAGCCCCCTTAATATGAACACAGTTGACTGTTACAGCACTTCCTACAGAAACACAACAACACTGTAATTTGTTTCGTAACTATTGTTACTACTAGCAATCAACTAATTCACAACTCCATAGGACATTTTAAAACTGCCAAGAGTGAACAGCTATTTATCATAGTCAGTCTAAACAAATGCTAATGACTTTTTCAGAGGTCCAACCTTTAGATTTCTTACAGCATGAGTCCATCGTCCAGCTGAAAACTGAAATTCTCAATTAGAAAGCAAGAGGGATAAGAACTTCTTTTGAGTTAGCACAGGAGGGGGTCATTTCCCTAAGTGTCAAGTTTAACAAGGTCAGTTGCTTCACACACTGAGAAAAGAAAATAGGACTTTGTATCACTTAGCATTCAAGCTCAGCCACCCACAGCTGACAGAGGACAGGGCCCTGACAAATGAAGAGGCAAGTGTGTGGATAAAGAAAGTAATGGTATGCAGGGAAAATAATTGACCATGAGAAGCTGATAATTAGTAATAGGAAAGCCCCACCGATTTTTGCATTCCTTGTCACCACACATCGTGTCTGTGGTTTTAACCACAGCTTAGAAAAAACCCGTTGAGGTAATATTCACAAAGCATATCATAAATATCAAATTCTATATGAATATGAAAGTTGTAGCCTGGCTTGGATCTTTCTAGTAGTTTAAGCAACCACTGCTACTGGATTCTGCTTCCCCACTAACCTGTCGTCCAGAAGCCAGGTTGCTTTAGAAACTTTAGTCTAGAGATGAATCCTTCTGCTGGTTCTTTTCCAGGTTGTAAAAAATGTAGATGGTTTTGAATCCTTAAAGAGTCAACAAGTATACCAAGACGTGTGTCACATTTCCTCCCCTGGAGGGCTGAGAAAGGTGAAAAAGATGCTGCTGTTCTGCTGCTTTTACAAACAGTCCTTATCTCCACTGAGACCAGGACCAGCAGAACTGAGGGGGGTTCCTTGTCATGTCAGAAGATTTCACAAGGGAAAGGCTAGTAATGTAATCAAGGGAGAAGGACAAAATCTGCTGCTGAAAGGGACAAGCAGGGAGTTCCAGGATGAAGCCATAGTCCTATATGGAGCTTGAGCTAAGCCAAACTGCTGATCCTGTCTTTTCTGGTTCTTTAAAGTGCCTATTACAAAAACTGTCAGTTTTTCATAGAACCAGATTTATTTTATTTTTTTTTTCCTCTTACAAAGACAAATACCGTCAGTTACTTCTTTACTAAGAGCTGGATGGGAAGTCCACCCCATGAATAGGGTTGTGCCACTTTTCTGATTCCACTGGGTACTCAACCAGGCCCTCCTATGCATTTCAAGTCTTAGATCCAGTCTGGCTTTGAATGCAAGATAAGAACATCTCTAAAACTTTGTTTTAGCATATTTGTTTGCAATTATGTCTGATGATGATTATTGTCTTGCTTTTAGAACTGAGTATGTAAATGATTGCATGGCAGCATATGGAGAAGGATGGATGAATTTTATCTAGAAATATCAAAACCATATTTACAACAGGATGCTGTTGCAAGCTGCCATAATACACTAAAGGATTTGTAATGCTTCGTAACTGTACTTTTTCTTATTAATAAATACTAATTTAGTTTGTTTCATCAACACATTTTTTTACATCCACTGTTGACTTAAGAGGTACTGTACCATGTACATGACAATCGTCTGATAACCATTTAGCAAATCCATAAAGTAAAGCACCCAAAATTCAGAGAGATGGCACTTCTCAAGAAAAGCTCATCTAGAAGATTTGGGAACTTTTGATTTATAACTATAATGCTTTGTATACATTTGTAATTGCTTCGATAATATATGCAAACTTCTAGCCTTTGGTGCTAAATGCTGCTAATTTGTGAATGAAAGCACAGGAAAATACACAGGAAAAAACCAACATTCTGTATCTCAGCTGAAAGCTAAGCACAGTTGTCTATAGCCTACAGGGTTACACTTTTCACCCAGTGTGTACTAAGCAAGTAATGACTAGTCCTGAAAATTGCCAGACCCCTGCTGAATTTCTTTTACATTGCTCTGGGGCTAGGAGCGAATAAGAATAAAGCCCTGGGTGCTTCTCTGCTGGATAAAAACAAACACGTTAGTTGATTTTTAGCACACATATTTCCATAACTGCCACAATTCAGAAAGTCTAACTCATTTTCTTTCAGGCTACAGTATTACAGAACTTATGTTGCAATTAACTTGTCTTTAACCTTTGAAAATGGACATCAACACATCAGCTTTGAGGATGTTCCTCAACAGTCACATAGGAACAATAACTGCATTTTTCCTCTTTCCTTTATCCATTTGGATTGTACATGACACGGGAAATTGTTATTTCCCCATCTCTCTAGTCCAAAGCCAACACAGAACTTCCAGTGAGCGTGGGATCAGGCGTGCCATGTGTGCCGAATATATCTATTCATGCAAAGCCCCAGCCACAAAGAACAGCTTTAGTAAAACCTGTTAGCAGTTGTTAGGCCATCACTGCACTTCAGCAGCAGCAAAAAGAACAGCATTTAGAATGTGTTTCTGAAGCATACCACCTACCACTGGCAAATGATATCTGAATAGTGAGCAAGTTTAAGGTCCAGACAGGGAAAGATTAATTTTTGCCAGTTCACTATGATCCAGTTGCCTACACTAACAAAACACCTGCGAGTTTCCATACCATAAGACCCCTCCTCCCAATCCTGTCTGACACATTTTAAAAGGAGCCTACCCAACTTCACAGATATTTGTCTCTTCAATCACTTGAGTACCTCTGAAAATCCACTTCTCTGTGCATGTTCTAGTTCTAGGCTTCTTTAGGCCTAGGTTTGCTTCCCTGAAAACTTTAGCAAAACTTGTCTCTGCAATCCAGTGTTATAAGCTACACAATTTTTGAGATCAGTGTTGGGTTCTGAAGCTGCTTACACTTTATTAGAAATAACGGACTACAAACAAGACAGCTTTGTCTAAAGGCCTGTATGTTCTGTTTGTCTATTTTTTTTAAGGAAGAAGTTAGCCTTTCCCTCTTTTGATCTTTGGCACACGTAGCAGCATGTATTTGAGGTGGAGTATTTTGGAAACCACTTTCCTTCCATCTCCACTAAGAAGCATGCCCAGTAAAAAAGCTGAATTTAAATCAAGTCTGGCAGTAGTAGGGAACACCCTTCACAGAGAAACTAAATTGTATCCTTGACTTTCAAATAAAAAGCACACAGAGCAGTAATAAAAGCCATGCTCAAATGTAATGATAAATACTTCCAAAAATTCCCTATCACCTCTAAAAGGTAATTTTAGAAAAGCAAAAGATAAAAATCACAGAGATTAGCATATTAATGGTTCCCAATCTGTATTTACAAATCTCGTAAATCTGTTAATGTGTAATATTAAGTAGATAAGTGCTGTTAATATAATGTGAAAAATATTAAATGCTAAAATTTGCAGTCTAAATCTGGGAGTGTGAATGCAATACATTAAATGGGACAAAACTGTGAATTTAATGGATTAAAGCATTAAGAATTTGCAGTGTGACTGCCAGGAAGGAGAAAAATGAGAAGTCTCATACATACAAAGCAATCAGTGTCTTTAGGTCCGGAACAGCCTCCAGCGCATTCCCGGTGGCAGCAGTCGCTGACGTAGGGCCCATAGCACCGTCCATCACACTGCTCTGCACACACCGTCTTCGTTACTAGGAGGAGGTAGGAAAAATTATCATGTCAGAATCTGAACTAAAGAGAGACCTCTTCAACTGCACACTGAGGAAAACAACAAACCAAACAGCATACTGAAAAAACCCTCAAGTCTTAACGTAATTGCTTCAGTGGTACTGGCCACTCATATCCTCCAGAATACCTTCACAATAACCTCTTTAGGAACATGTATGTTGCTCGAGGACTGTGGAGGAAGAATTTTTAAAGTATTTGCTCTTACATGTGGAAAATCAGGTGGAATATTATTTTATAATTATCAGTTTTTGTAAACAGCTGATAGAAGGATATGAAAAAAACCCCCACAAAATAACAGAAGCGCCTACCATTCCCATGTGAGTTTCTCCCCACAAAGAACAGCAATACTGAGTAAATGAGTGAAATTCAGAGTGAGGCCAGCAATCTCAGAGCCAAATACTGTTCCTGATGACAAGTGATTTGACAAATAGGCAATGAGGTAACAGAACAGAATACAACCTGCAGATTGGAACTCATTTGGAAACACCACTTACCTTTTCTAAATAACACAATTCAGCCTTCATTCACAGGGAAACAACTATATTCTACCAATTGGAAAGCACAGTGATTTAAGTGGTACCACACTACTGTACCTCTGAGCTTAGTCTTGTGCAAAGAATTGTCAACAAGTGGAGCACCTTCCCCTCACTCGGCTATAGCTTCTATCTTTATTTTATGGAAAAATAAGTTAATATTATCCACAGGACTATACCAGCCACTGCCTACAGAATGCCAAGAAGCTGTGCTGTCATCTGTCTTTTGATTAAAGCAGGGATGTTACACTTCTGAAATTAACCTATACCATTTATTTTGTTAAAAGCATTTAATTATTTCTCTATGGAAAACAGTTTTCAGGAAGTCAGAGAACACAAAATTCCAACTTGCTGTTCTATTCTACTATTTAATGTGTTGGTAATTCCTTTATAAGTACTTTCCAATCCAAATTCTCTCCACTACTTGCTGGAAATACTTAAGGTAATGCCAAAGCTTCTTGATATACACACTATGTATTAAAGACATAAAAATGCAAATAACCAAAGAGAAGTCATGATTTATAATCTATGGAATAAAGTGATGAACTTATAGAGTAACTCCTTCTTGCTGATACCAGAGGCAAACCCCCTGACAGAAAACACTTTCCTGCTTTATGCAATCTAATTTGGGAAATAAGGGAAATTTCTGTAAATGCACTTGCTGTCAACACTGCTAGAGAAACAGGATTTGTTTATTTAAGCTAAGCGTATTGATAAACATTAGGACAGAGACATAAAACAGTGGCATATATTAAGCAAAACACACATGTTGCAGTATGCCACCACCACACCATTAGCTGAGAGGGACAGAGTCTCATCTCACAAAAATGAATGAAGACCTCATTTAGTCAGTGACTGAACATTGCTTTTTGCCAGTTCAGAAATTGGTCCATAGTGCCTTGATTTAGACTGGACTGGGCACTATTTGCTTTGACCTTAAAGGGAGGCAAGGCCCACATTTACCCTAACTTGCCAGAGGACCTGATTTGCCAGAGGCTCCCCCTCCACCATCAGTGGAGAGGCAGAGAAGCAGCGGACATTCATTTCATCCTGTCCCACAACCCAAATCCTCTGTGTTTACCTGTGTCACCCCTCAAACAAGGAGCTGTCTCCTGAGCCAAGGGGGCACCATCCAAACACTCTGCCTCCCTTTTACACAGCGACCATTCACGACTATGTTTACCTCACTTTTAAAACTACCTCTCTTCTGTCACCACATTCTGGCCCTCTGGCCGGCGTTACCGCTGCCAGCGGCCAGGCAGGCCCCGAGGCCAGGCACCGAACCGCTCTGCATGGCGGCAGATGAGGGGGAACTAAAATGGCTGCCGCTCCCCACTGAGCACACTCAGTGCCCCTTTCTAGAAGGTTCCACAGGCAGAAGGTGGTGTTCGGGTTCCCCTCACCAGCACCTATCACAGTTACAGCACAACAGCAGCATATTTCCTTTTTCTCTTTTCTTCCTTTTTTTTTTTTTTTTTTTTTTAATTTTTACTTTTTTTTTTAATTGCTCTAGAAGCAGAGAGCCAAGGAGCCAAATTTCAGGCAGATACAATCAATGGTGTTACCACAGGAAAAGAGAAGAGGACATGATAGCACACCATGGTCGTTCACCAGCAGGATGCTGTTAAAAAGCATTCCTCGCTGCTGCTCCACAGCAAGTTAACGTTTTGCTTTAACCTGGGAAGTTTTGGTGAAAGCACCTCAGTGTAGACAATTAGTAAAAGCCACCTAATTAGCTCAGTTATAATGTATTTACCTCAGTGCCGGACGTTGTTGGGAGTGGGTCAAGATGTCCACCGTGACTGTACAATCATTGCCTCCCCGTGGAGGAGATTTCCTGGCAGACTTTAAAAAGGGCAAAGAGGCCAAGGCCCAGCAGTATGTCCCATATCATCAGCTGCAAAAGGTACTGGGAATCCTCCACTGCTGCCTCCCCAAAAACAAGCCCTGAGGAGGTGAATCCCCTGCCTCGAGGGGAGGAGGGACCTGCCTGTCCTGTGCCTGCAGTTTGTGACCACAAACCCCACTGACCACCCACTGGCATCATTAGAAAAGGCACGGTCTTCTTGTCAGCTCACGAGCTACTACTTTTAGCGAGCCAAGATCTGTATTTGCAGGATTATACACTTCTTTCAAGCTGAGCTACAGATAATACTTCTTCCCTAGGCTGTGTAGCTTAAACAGCGGTGGGGAACGAGCTCAACAACAGCAATGGATTTAAGCAATTTACTGACATCTTTTCAGCAGTTTTCACACTATTAGACTAGGACAAAATTATCTAAATTTTTCACCATCCTCTAGAGCCCCACTGTAAGGCTTGTGCAATGTATAAAGTTACATTAAATTCCCTAACTTTTTAAGAGACTACAACAATTTATTCCAGAGTATGTTTCCTTCTTTAAAAACCCAAGAGCACCCCCTGCACCAGGGTTGACCTGGAGGGATATGGCCCCCTTTTCAGCACAATACTTAAACGTGGTGCCATCAAAAAGCATCATCTTCTTATGATTAGGCACCAATTTAATGAGGATCTCTACCATGTTCCTCAGGATACGGAACATTTTGAGTTTTCCTGAAGACTATGAAGTTACAATGTGGTTTGCAGAATTTACAATTACCGCAAAGGTTTGTCATTGTTCTTCCCTAATTGTTTGTTTTACTGGGAAGGCAAACACCACCAACAGAAATGCCAACATTTCATTCTAGGAAAAGGCCACAACACACCCTATTTATCTTCTGGTTCATTGCATGCTCTATTCGCATTCTAACTGCTATTGATGTGCCAGCTCTGAGGAGGACCTGTCTGATATCTTCAGTGGCACCACACACCAAGATAGAAAAGAGCTTAGTGGCCTCTGAATCTTTTTAAGGACTCATATTCAAGACAGTTTGCAATGAAGGGTTTTCCCCAAAGCATAGGCAATACTATGCATTATTTGAAGTCACAAAGCAATCTGATTGTTCAGATTCCAATAAATGTAACTCAACAGTTCAGCTTCCTGCAATTATTATCATGAGGTTAACCTGCAGAAAATGTACATAGCTGCACTGGTTTAAAAACATAGCAAGCTTTTTACCCCCAAACTTTCCTCCAAATGCAATCAATTGATTTTATAGCTGTGACTCAAGACACATCTGAAAGAGTGAAATGTAAAGTAGAGTACTACCCAAGATATCAAACTATATGTTCAGGCTGAGATCACTGGGGGCTGGCTCCTAGAGGAGACACATGGCTCAAGATGGTGCCAAGAAGAAAGTGGGGACAGATGGTAGGGAACTGGGCAGCAGCTGTGAACTGGCAGCATCAACCGAGAGCAATCCTGCTGAAAGCTGAGAGAAGAGTGGAGTAACACCAGCCTCATCCTCCTGCTACCTAGTGTGGACACTGTTCACAGGGGAGCTGGTGGAGGGGTGATCGGGAGCCCTCACATCACATACTTCTTGCAGCGCAGACAAACATGTGAGATCCAGGAGTTCTGGGCTGATACCCCAGGGGAATTTTACACGCTAGATACTTGTTACTTCACACAACATAGCTGTGAGGAGAGCCCTCATTAATCACAGCTGAGGCCCCAAGTTTCAAAACAGACTTTTTGAGGGTCTGCACAACTACCCACCCCGATGCCTACTGATCTTTTGTGGAATCTCAAGAAATCTGAGGATTTGGCTGCACAGAACTGTCACAGTCAGGGCCAGGACAGCAAAGGACAGTGGCAAACACCAAAGTCTTGAAAAACTGTGCCATGCATTGGGGCTGGTTTCTAGGGGAGTGCAGAACGCTGACTGTCAATCTCTACTAGTATTTTACTGTGATATAGCAATAAGGTGCATTGGGGACAGGGTGCAATGGGCACTTCATATATGTGTGCAATTAATCAGTCTCTCTTACTGTTTCCCTTAATCTTTAATTATGTCAAGGCACTATAAATCTATGAAGGAAAAAATGGGAAGTAACTGAAATCAATGAAAAAGTCTTATGAACATGCAAAGTTATTAGAGAAATACAAGGATTTTAATTAAAGATGCTGGCTCCAAGCAAAAATGCTGGGTTACCCTGATTGATCTAAGCTGCTGGTTCAGCTCTTTCTGTCTCCCCCACCAGGCTCCCACTTGCCTTTTGCTGCTCTAATTGGGTACTTACTGCATCGGCACCTTCTTTTTCTCAGCAACATCAGCTGCACAAAGACTGTATAAATACAATTATGCTCAGGCCAAACTCCTCTACACGTACACAGTCATGGAGCATTTCACATTTGCTGAATGTTTATGTTTCAGGTCTGATTTAAAGGCTATTTGCCCATTTTGCATTCCCTTATTTGGGCCTATACTTTAATTTAGATTTTTCTCTTTTGTTTCAGTTACATTCCTCTAGGATGAAGTACATAATCTGTGAGTTTAATAATGTATTCAATTTTTAAAAGTTTCAGTTTCTTTTCATACTAAAAGTAAAAAAAAAGAACCCAAAACTCTTTACAGACATCAACAGCAAAAACAGTAACAACCTAACCATAGATTTTCAAATTTGATTAGTAACTTCCAAAAGCGTTTGTTCTTTTGCTTTTTTAAATCTGTTTACATTCTATTTAGTAGGTGCCCAGTACTCTTTGAAAAATAGATTTGTCTTTAAAGTATTCCCACATTAGCCTTTCCTGACACTGAAACAAAGAATACCATCTAGCTTTTAAATGTTCAAAATTAATATTTACTTATACTTTAATTATAAAAGAAAAATTGATTTTTAACTTCAGAAAACAGTACCCTGAAATTACATTGTCTCTACCTCCTAACAGAACAACTTATTTAAATTTCCTATTAATTGTCTTCTTAAATACATAAATTTTCTTGTCACATTTAGAGAAACATTAGGACAGAGTTAGATGCAGGTGGTGTTTGATAGAGTTAGAAATACAGAGAGACACTGCTGAAAGGCAACATAAGAAGCAGCTAGGTAGATGATACACATGCAAAAAATAAAGGGATTTTGATTTTTTCCATATGTAATTTGAAATGAAAGACACAGATTAAGATCTTTAGTTTTTATCCTTTTCCAGGAAAATAATTTAAATCTTATATTGGGAGGGTAGGTCATTAGAATTTTTTGCTTCGGTGACTACATAAAAAAAAAAAAAAAAAAAAGAAATTAAAATGCAGACATGCCTCTGAGTTGTTTCTAGGAACAAAATAGTTTGACGCTGGGATGTAGTGCTGCTGAATTGTTTTTCTACACACTTTGGAAAGATGTGCATCCCCAAGGTGACTAGGTTAAGGTATACACTCTGTGATACCATTTGTCCTATCTCCACCTTAGATATAAAAATAACATTTATGAACTTGAAAGCCAAGCATGTTTTTTAAAGTCAGAAATGAAGGCAGCAAAAGAATAGCCCCACTTGTATTTTTATGTTTTGAGTCTATACTCATATTCTTTGCTTGAAACATCTGCAGCAGAATAACTCATTTTGAGAAGTGCAATGAAGAAATGGCCACTGCCAGCCTAATATTCAGTCTTTTCCTCAAATCCTGATGTTTGACCAAGGTGCAGTGAGGTCAGGAAGGCAAAGAGGAAGTATATGATATAAAATTAACTCCTGTCCCTGACAACCAGAGGCTGCAGTGTGCTTGAAGGTAAAAGGTTGTAGAGTAGCTATTTCAAATTAGAAATGTGTGATCTGTGTATCTCCCTGGAACTTAGATGGCATATGTCTCTCCATAGTTTATTATTTTAAATCCACAGTTGTGCCTTTGGCCTGTCCCCAGTGTTTGGATTTGAGAGGGCAGTCACCGTGAAGAGAGAGATAGCTGTCAATCCTGGAGCAAACCTACCGTGCAGCTCTGCTAAGCTTCTGACTTCACAACACTTCAGATAAGTTTTGCTCTCTCTGGTGTTACTACATTAATCCAACAAATCAGCTCACTTATCTGAGAGCAGTGCTTTGTAGAGGTTGAGACCATGGGAGCTGATCCTGCCACATGGACTTCTGGAGCCACACAGAGTCCAGCTGGACTTTCTGACTTTACGTAAGGCTGAAGTCTCTGCTTGCTGGAGCTGAGGCTTGAACTAGGATCATATCATTTCTTACATAATATAACTACCAAGGTTTTACAGTGTTCTTGGATAAGATAACCACATAAGGCCTGAATAAGTCTATTCAAGTTTGGATGAATTACCCCAGGTTCTTACAAAGTTACTAGTTTTAACAAACAGGCCTCTCATTAGGACAGAGGAAGAACAAGCATTAATTGTTTCTAACCTAACCATGATATAAAATAATTCGGTCAGCTAGGGTTTAAGTCCCTTTCCATGATCTACTTCAGCACATAACCTTATTGTAAGGAGGCTTTCTAAGCACTGACTCCTTTGGGGCTTTCTTCAAGACTGCCAGCAAAGAAGAGAGATGTACTAGCTCACTTCAGATACAGAAGAATCTGCTTAACATCACTGTACTTGGTTCATTATACAGTTATTCCTACAACCTGTCCTAAAGCCCTTTTAATCATACCAACAGATAAAGCTCAATATGAAACAGTAATATAAGAACATGTTAACTTTAGCAGAGCTGTAACTGTCATCAGCATTGGTGTAAACATCAGCTGATACTCCTGACCAAAAAGCAGTGCCTGGTGCAGTGCAGAGTCTCTGCAGGTGTGCAGCTCCATCGCCTGTGCCCCTTGCTTCGCCACCGACAGGAGGTTGCCTTCGATCTCCTGCTTGGGCTCAGCCATAAAATGTTCATGTCAGCCTGTCTGCCATTTCTAACGTCCTCTTATCTCTTGCTCCAAGTAGTCAAAAAAAAAAAAAAAAAAGGCATTGTTGCACTGTTCGTAATATTCCCAACCATAAAGACAGATGACATTGGGCTATCATCAGCTGAGAGAGTTAGTTGGTGTGCTCAGTTGATAGTGGTTAATTTATCACAATCCCTTCCTCCTATCTACAACTCAGCCAAGGAAACAAGCACAGGTTAGAGCAGTGCCCTCTGGGGGAGATATCAGCAACCAGTTCATTGCCCAGGAAGAGTGACTCCAGTAAATGCAACCAACTTCTACCCTCCTAAATTTCAAAGAAAAGAAATGTAGAGGATAGCTCTATTCCCGTAAGGGGGTAAAAAGAAAAAAACTTGTAGGAAAAGACAGCTCTCAATTTTCTCCTCTTTTATATTTGCTAATATTGTGATGGCACTTCTAGCTCTTTAGTGCCTACATGAAGGAGCTGAGAGCACACACAGAAGAAACTCTCTCAATATAGTCCCTTTTTTATTCATATTAATGCTCTCTAAATTCAAGAGGACAGACAGACTGTGAAAAACACTTCACTTACTAATTCCTTCACAAAAAATATTATTCTTTCTTCCAGTACAACTCAAATACATTCTGAAGTTATTACAAAGAGAACAATTCTGCAGGATAATATTCACAGGCTCCCACTGAAATTAAAAGAGTATTTTGGCATTAGGAACTTTGCAGCATCAGGCCATCATTAAAGATCTCCAAATATACCTTGTAGTTTTTTCTATTCCTGCAGTATTAATTTCAGTGTATTCCAAAATAACCATCAATATTTTCAGAAGCCATGCTCCATGTTGCTGCCAAGAACTGAAAATTCAAGTTATCTTAAGCATTTTTAGAAAGCAGCAGGGAGGAAAGAAAAACATAAATTCACATGGGCAGAAAAAAAGCAGATCATCTCTTGGTAAAAACATACAGAAAAAAATTCAAGCATTTTAGAATTATACTAAAACCGGAATTTGTAGTATCCCTTCACAGTTAAAAAGAAATAGTACCCCTGTTCCATAATTCTTTAGTCCACTGTTTCTCCGAGTCTCGCATACTTACAGGTCTGGCAGTGATTCTCTGTGGGTCCCCAGCATCGGCCTGTGCAGGATTTGTGGCATCGACCACCTGCAGCACAGACAGAAAGAGAGAGACATTAGAAATGTGGCTTCCTTCCATTTCTTCAACATCCAGCTGCTTCTGAAGAGGAGGGTCCATCTTGTCTTTGGAGGGCTTTTATGCTTTACCAAGGTTGAAACACACTGCCTGTAAAAAAGGCCCAGATAAATAGCCAGAATTGGCGCCAAACATATATGAAATATGACTACTTATCCAAGTGCTTTATATCCTAAATATCTCTCTGCTATGTATAATGATTGGGACAATTTAAAACAAAAAAAGACTAACAAGTCTGGAGGACTGATCGGCAATTTCATCACCCAGTGCTACTCCTATTGCTCCCTACATCTTCTCCACAGGAGAAGAGATGGCTGTGCTAGAGAGGATACGTGTCTTTCTATCTCATGTCCAATTTCATCTGAACAGTGGGGTGACACAGTCAATGACTTGGATTAAAAGCCATCCCTCTCCCCCAAAAGCTTGCATAGTCTTCATGTCCAATGGCATGCTGAAGGAAATGTGCCCTGTGCAACCACTTAACCCCAGCAACAGTTAAGCTCACAGGACCTTTCCTTTTCTGGTTGCTGGCTCTCAAGTTGCCTGGGGTTGTGCTTCTGAAGGAACCTCATGTTCCTTCAAAACCTAGAGGTGATGTTCTACATTATTCCACATGCTGTCAGGTTTAGTCCCTTGAGAAAAGGAACTGCAGGTGCTTTCATTGTAAAATACAGATGGAAGAGGAAGAGTTAGCAATGGTAGCTTTTATAAACTACCTAGTAATTGGTGACTGAAACGCCCTTGGACTGAATAGGGAGTTGAGTTCACGTCTTCCGTTTCATGGCTAAATGCTGACCACTGTGTGAGGAAACAGAAAACAGGCAGAGGAACTGGCACATTCTCCTCTGGATGCATTTTACATTATTCGAGAAAACACTCGGACAGTCCCACACCAGTCCTGGGTACAGCTCCCATCCTGACGTGGCCAGAGCCGTCACCCTCCTGCTCAGTGCTTCTCCCTCCTGAATGCCGAATGCTCCCAGAGCACAGCTGGAGATCCTGCCCTACTGCACCCTGAGCCCCTGCCAAAACCCAGGTGTGGCAGTGCCTGAGGTGTAGGCAGCCAAGTCCTTTAGACCCAGCCAGACCTGAAGGGATGAACTGAGAAACCCGACGTAAACATTGTGCACAGTACTTATTGCTGCTCTTTTGACCACAGGAACCTAACCTCGTCTTTGATTAAACTTTTATCCATCACTGAATACTGCTGAGATTCTATTAAGAAAATCTCCCCTTTGAACCTGATCCAGAAGTCTACCTTTCAATCCTGTATTAACAGCAGCTGCTGATAACACTGCTCCATTACACTAAACCAAATACTTCCCACACACCCTGATGGGAGATGGCGTTGGAGAAAATGCAAAATGTCTCTCGGCTAAGGTTGGCTCGCCCCAAGAGAAAACACCGCTCCTCTGCTAGTGGTGTGCTTATACGTATGAGACACTGTACAGCTGAGCAAACCCACTGTAGCAGTCTTGTAAAGTTGGACTTTCTGCCACTACTTCTTCAAAGCTAGCGTTCTTCCCTCAGCGCTCGCACCGCATTCATGGTGTTATTGATGGTGCTGTATGGTAATTACCACACTGGATGCCAACTACCTTGTTAAAACCACCAGCTCCTTGTTGCATTCATGTTCATTTAAAGCAATTGTACTTGGTTAGCGTTGTTGCTGACATCACCAGCACATCATTTGCTGTCACATTCTGCCATCTGTTTATTTAGATCACAAATGTACTATAACTACATAATGCAAACTCATTCTGACTGACAGGGAGGGGACTCCATCTGGCATGAATAATGCAACTTTAATCAGTAATAATGATTATTATGATTATTAAGAGACTACTGGAACCCTGTGCAGAAAGCAAATACATCCATATTGATTTACAAGAATAGAAGTTTGAAAAGAAGGTGAGGTAAACAACAAATTAAAGGAAGAAATTTAACAGAGAGGGCTCAATAAGATATAGTTGGTTTGTTGATTTTGGTGCTCAGTCAGCTGAATAAAAAAGATCCCCAGGAAGTGGGTTTTATAAACTGGTGATCCCTGGCCAACAGAGGAAGTGGGAAGGAGAAAGGGTATGGCCCTGGATGCACATTCAGACAACCTTTCCACCACTTGCTTTGCTTGGTCCTCACCTGAGCCAGAGCATCCTTGCTTGGGGCAGCTCGGGAGGAACAACAACCATGGCCAACAGAGCCTCCTCTTGCAAGACTCTATTCTATGCCCAATCCTTCCTTGTGGTCAAATCTCATGCCTGTCTAGCTTAAGGGGTCTGGAGCTTAGGGAGGAAGCCAGAAGCCTTGGAGCTAGATGCAGTATAAAGCACCGCACGGATCACTTGTAACCACATATTCCCGAGGCAGAATAAGGCAACAGTTCAGCTGCTTCTTCCCCTTCCTGTCCCTGGATTCTAGCCCCTTCCAAAATATAATGTATGCACTGGGGCCTCCACTGCAATATGGGCAGTGAGATAACAGAAGAAGCTTCAGACATCCTCCAAGAGATCTCTAACTAGAGAGTCTGCCCACTCTTCTGCAAAAGCTAGACTTCAAACAGAAATCTTCATATTTGAAACTCCTAGGTGCTGAGCTGATCCTCGGTACACAACCAAAAATGTATTCAGCCACCTTTACTTCTCCTGGAAATAAAAGCAATCCAGCTTCTTCAAAAATCATTTTAAAAAATTTTTAAACTTGTATGCCTGCTTCCTTGTACATGACTTTGGCGGTGTCAGATGATCATTTGCATTTAAATAGAGATATTTAACAACAAAGCAAGAAAAGGCTGCCGGTTTCCTTTTTTCTCATTGGGAACTCAGAGTGTCTGTTTTATTGTTTTCACTTTTCTCAGCTGCACAAACACAACAAGGAGCAGAACTTGTAGGCAGCACACCTCTGAATTGTACTGTTACATGTCCTTTTGAAGGTCAAATATACTGAGAACTAAAAACAAAACAAAACAAAACCAAACCCTCCCTCCAAATAGTGTGTCTATATTGGTTTGTTTGTATAAAAAGAAAAATAACTTTCTTTGCTTTCAGTATGAACTGGTCCGGATTCTGCTGTCACATAACTCAGTTTTCCCCCACTGTAATAAGGACAGATCGCTACCCATTAAAGATCAGCTCTGTAAATCTAACACAAGTATAGTGCCATGGAAGTCAACATAAGTAGTAAGTGCATAAGGAGCATTCATGTGAGGAACAGGTCTCATGATTAGATTTGTATGTCAGGCTTAAACGATAATAAATCTATTGGTCCTAAGACTGACAAGGTCCCTGAAATAATTATACTGCTTCTCACAGATCTTTCTGTATATATTTCTTAGGATTTTTAGATTGTAGTGAGCCAAAAGAGTTGAGAAAAAATTATCAAACAATTTGTGGCATAAAATAAATTACTCCTGTTATTCCTCGTGTCTCTAAAATATGCTAAACCCCTCCAACATACAGCAGTAAGGGCTAAAAGAAATAACTAATGAAGAAATGGCAAACCATGAAACTGTAGGCACGTTCTTCCTTCTGTTTTGAAGCAGCAGAGAGTGGAGGTAGAACTCCCTCCTATGATTTCCTCCCCTGGTCCTTGGCATCAAAAGACACTGAGTGTCCTAAAGTCCCGGTGGCAATAGGTGGGACCTAGGAACACTCAGCGGCAGTAAAACAGCCCATTTGTAACAACTCATCACATACATTCTTATTACAATCAAAGAGTAATTAAAGAATTAGATGGAATTTGACAAAAAAAAAAAAAATTCTGCAGGTCTTTACCTTGTAAGCACTACCTCGCCCATTCAATTAATTCTTGCATATTAGTGAAGACACATAAGAAAAACCATTTTTCTTTTCTAAGTGAGATAAGGAAAGGAAGAACCTGGAAAAGTCTCCTGCCCCATTACAGCTGTGATGCTAGAGTATGTTTCTGCTTATGAAGAGTGGCCTTGTTTTGCACACCCACTGACATTTTGTTCATTAGATTGCAGAGGAAGAAGGAAGGAGTTAAAAGGAGGCTTATCTAATTTTTACAGGGTTTGTTAGGAAATCTAAGTTTAGAAAGGACAGATTCCCACTGGAACATGAGAATTAATTTTGCTTTGGCAAATTCTACGCAGAAAACCAATGGCTCATCTCCTGAGCTTGACTTCCCTTGGCCAGTACTACCACAGCAGATCTTCACTGTGGACTCTGGTGCAGCACATCATTGTTTTAATTTCCAGGATAGAGTTTTATTTGCAGGAGATGTTTCTGCTCTCCCAGCCAGGGAAAGTCACCAGCAGAAAACATTTGCTGACTTGCTTGGGAAAGCCCAAGGTTACTTCATCCTTGTGCTTTCCTGAAAATTGAGAAGGGCTTTCCTTAGGCTCCACACTGACATGATTATTTCAGGAACAGTAATACCACCAAGGATTAAGTTACTGACAAGACAAGAAAAATGAAGTCCTCCTCTTAGCTCTAAGCTCAGTGTAGTACACAGAAGAAACACTGCTTCTTCCCCATCAGTTCTGCCAGCTGCCTCGAGCAGACCTCTCTCAGTAGGAGAAGGAAAGCAGAAATAAGAGAAGCAATGGTCTCGCTCTGCACAAAGCTTGCGTTTACAGATGGTTTCTATCAGGTTAATAAATCATTACCAAATGTTAGCATATCTGCAACATACTGATACTGAAGTGTGAATAAACGCAGCCAAAATAATGTGGCTTTGATGGTTACAAGCCATGGTTATAAGCAGCCTTTTTACTTATCTAACAATCTAAAATAATTAACTATCAAAACACCTATAAACCGTTTATTAAATTCTGTAAGCTATTTATAAACTCATCCTTCACCTAAAAATTCATTCCTGCAAAAATGTTAGAGATGCCATACAGATATTTTTAGACATAACTAGCCCTAAGGCCCAAGAAGTTCCAGGTATACTCTGTGGTAAGAGCCTCAGTCTCTTCTTTCCATTGCTTA